CCGTATATTTTATCATTTTTTACATGTTTATGTAAACATTTATTATTAACCTTGTAATTATTATTATTATTATAAAATAAATATATTATATACAAATAACAACACTGTTTTTATTTTTAGATTATAAGTTTATTATAAGAAACTAGTACAATATATAAAGTTATTGTTTATAAATTATTAATATAAGTTAATTTTCTGACGTGATTGGGTTTCGGCCATTGTGAAGCCCATGGACTATAACTATTTTCTTGGGTATACACTGTTGTATTGAAAAATGTTGGACCATCATTTTCATCGCACATTTCTTCTTCTTTTTCCTAAAGCATAATTATAAATTTAATAACAATAAAGGTTATTACAATCTATGTTCATTAAACTCACATTAATTTGAAGCATGTCTTTGGACCATGACTTGACCCAACTATCAACTATTACATTGTACGCTAAATTCTTCAGCTCGCTTATGTATTTACTGTCACCTTTAGGAATAGTATCACATATTTCTATGTCGTTCAAACTTCTTATAAAATTAACCATTTCATCGTTGTTTGATTGTTGAATTTTAGGGCCCGACCATTTACTGTCGGTGTATTATATAATGCGGTCTATTTGATGGCTTAATAGTAAACGCGTTTTTATTTTTCTTGATATTGCACTGTTAATAGTACACTGTAAGTCCATAAGTCTATTAATGTTTTCGTTATTCAATAACACTCGACACCCATCCACTATTCTGGATTCTAATACTAAATGCATGGTATCACGGTACAATACTTTGGTTATATTAAAATCGACATTTTGGTATAACATAATGTTCTTTCCTTTTATCGGAGGTGATTGTAGGAATAATGTTATTTCATCCCTCATGCCGTAAATAATATTTAAATAATCTGCTGACATACTAATATATCGTGAAGGAGTAATAATGCATACCGTTACATTGAAGTCATCCTTTGGATTCAGGCCCACTTGCAAAAATTTTCTGTCGCTGAACGCAATAGTGTAACTGCTATAGTCAATCATCTCGGCTGGCGGTGTTGGTGCGATATAAATGTAGCGCTGTTTTCTTACAGGTTCGGCAGCCATATTATTCATAGAGTAGTGTCTTCTTTTTAGAGCTGATGGTTCTTGATGACACTGTGACTTTATCAACGATTTCATGCTCATTTATGCGGAAAAATCACATATTTTCATAGGGGGGTCAGCAAATCATAGGACACATATCCCCGTATACTAACTCTTTTCTTCATCACTTAAGTAATTTCACTTTAATATCATAATAATTAATTTTAAACTCTCGATTTCTAAATATTTGTATACAAATATATGTAATAGATTATGTGTATACATGTTTTATACAAAAACGATTACACATTAATGTCTATTAACAAACGCGGTAGTATGGCTGAATAATAAAAAAAGAATTTGATAAAATATTATTTCTAACGTATATATATTTTCTCTAAAATTAAAAATATAACTCAATTCTTATGAAATAGTATAATATTATACATATTTATTTATTTACTTTAATATCATAATAATGATCATCTTATGATGAGTTTCATCATCACCTCCTCTTCTATGTAGGGGTAAACCGCTGATTTACTGTTTTAATACATACGTTATTCAAGTAAGAGGGCTTTCTATGACCAAAGGCCTACACATCACATAGCTATAGTTGGGTTTCGTTTGATTAATAGCCGCTGTCGCCGCTTGATTACTCCTTTCACTTTCTGCATTCAAATATTTTCAAATAATTCTAAAATTATGTAATTTTTAAAATAGCTCCAATTTTCTATAATATATCAAGATATACTATATGATGTTCCATCTACTTCGATATACTATGAATATACCAGGGTATACAATACATGATAACTGTACAAATCCGCATTTGTCCGAAAAAGTAGTAGATGAGCATAAATAACACTTAAATCGTATACCGTCATGTATTTTCCTATGCAGCAGTTAAAAACAGTTTTTTCACAACGTACACTTTTTCACATTTGTCACAAGAAAACATTTTTTAAAACGTTTAAGTGATACAACACTATTAATTTTACTCAAGTAATAATCAGTCTTTTATGTGAAAATACTCATTTATGCGGAAAAATCACATATTTTCATCGAGGGTCGGCAAATTACAGATCACATATCTCTGTAAACTAGCCTTTTCGTTCACCACTTAAGTGATTTCACTTTAATATCATAATAATTAAATTTAAAGTCACGATTTCTAAATATTTTTATACAAATATATGTAATAGAGTATGTGTATACTCAATATGTATACATATGTTTTATCCAATAACGTTTACACATTAACAAAAAAAATATCTATTAACAAACGCAATAATGTAACTTAATATCATAATAATTAATTTAAACTATCGATTTTTAAATATTTTCTCTTTAATTACAAAATAACTGAATTGTTATGAAATATTGCACATATTTATTTAGTTACTTTAATATTATAATAATGATCATCTTATGATGAGTTTTATCATCGCCTCCCCTTCTATGTAGGGGTAAATAGCTGGACTGCTGTTTTAATACATACTTGAGTCAAGGAAGCGAGACCCTCTATGAACAATACACGTCATAGTTGGGTTTCGTTGGGTTAATAAGCCGTCGCCGCCGCCGCTCGATTGCACCTTTCACTTTTCTGTATTCAAATATTTTCATATAATTCTAAAATTATGTAATTTTTAAAATTCTGTAATATATCAAGATATACTATATGATGTTCCATCTACCTAGGTATACTATGCATATACCAAGGTAACTTGTACCATGGTATAACGAAATGCTATCTAGGAACGAGAAACATCGAACTTTCACCATACCCCCCTCCCGGTTGTTTACACCGCCCGTCCACCTAGAATAGGGTAAACCCACATCATGTGGGTGGGGGGACTATGCCTTTCACCATATCCCAACAGCTGTTTACACCGCCCGTCTACCTATGGCAGGGTAAACCCACAACATGTGGGTTAGGGGGGTATGGCAATCATACTTTATAGTTCTACTAAAAATTAATTGAAATTGAATTTTTTTTTAATATTCAAAGAATATTTTGCTTACTTAAGGACATAAAACATCATATATCTGGTATTTTAAAAGAATATTAAGAGAATATATTGCCTATTTTATGTGACATAAAAACATCATATTTTAAGGATTTTAAGAGAATATAAATAATATAACTTATTATTATTACGCAAGTATTATTTAACTTTGCGTTGTTATTATTTATTTATTATGATTAGTTGCGCCGGTTGATTGTGCGGTATTACGTACTTATTTGTTTTCTTTAATTTTGTTTGCGCTCCGTTATAAAGATTTAAATTTATTAAATTTATTAATGACAATTATTTATTTTTTTGCGTGTATTATTTATTGTAAATTTCTGTGTCACAATAAATGTTGTTAATATATAATAATTAATTTACGTTATTTTTGGCGACGTGAGATTATAAATAAGGGGTATAATTTTATTCATTATCGCTCCAAAATTTAATTTTGCGATTGCGGAACAGCCGGAAAATGAACGCATCAATCGATTAAAAAGCAAGGCGATCCTCAAACGCGATGATTGTGTCAAGTGGATTTGCGCGATTCGCGCGGTGGCAACTCGCTGTCTCGGTAACAATGAACATCTACCCCAATTGGCGGTTCTTCTAAATGAAATTGATCAAATTTGGACTGTTTTCACTGCAGAAAATAATACTATAATTGACTGTTTAATTGATCTTAGCTTAGAATCCGAATATACTCACAACTTAAAGGTTGAATTACGGGAAATTATCGCTTTCGCGAGATCGATTGTCAATCGGTATCATGATGATACATAAAGTTTAATTTCGGTCCATCGAGAATTTCGTATGTCGTTACATGAACGAGGACATGTACAACATGAACACAGTGATGATCAGCCTATAGAACATCAGAATCAAAATGCGCACGTAGTCGTTCCGGAGACGTCTGCGATAGGGAGACCTGAACAGCCGTCGAGTAATAATAATTCACTTGCACATAGTTCGGCCAGCGCAATATTTACCCGATTACCTGACATACCATTGCCTACCTTTCGTGGAGATATTTTTAAATGGATGTCATTCTATAATCGTTTTATCACTACTGTGGATCAGCGCCCTAATATTACGGACATAAAAAAGTTTTATTGTTTAGCCGGGTGTTTAAAGGGTAGTGCGTCAGAAGCAATAAGTGGAATACCAGTTTCAGGCAACAATTATAAACTTGCGTGGGCTACGTTGAAGGCACGTTTCGATAAGCCACGTTTAGTCGCAGCATCATTAATATCAAAAGTATTAACAGAGCCGAAATCATCTAACGAGTCTTTAACCGATCTACATAAATTTCTGGTGATTTTTGATGAAGGGGTATCGTTACTCAATACGATAAAACTACCAGATCTTGGAGATTTTATTTTATTTACGATGGCGTCATGGTGTTTACCGACGCATACGGTTAAATTATTTGAAGCTCAGCTGTTAAATCAATCAGTTGTAAAACGTTCAAAACATGGACCGCCGCTACACGTGTTAAATGGGTACGTGAAAATAAAGCGTTGTAATATAGGTCATTATTTTATAAAACTGAAAAGAAAGCATTTTTGTAATGTTTGGTTTAACTATGAATTTCTTAATCTATTATTACAAAAATATAATATAGTCTATTATTTGTAAACCTAGAAGTAGAACACTTATGTAATGTTTGGATTAATTGTAATTCCCAGAATTATTGTTACTAGATCAGGAAGTAAATATTTATAAACCTTTTTGAAAATGATTACTATATGAATTTTATAAAAGACAAACAAAATATTTTAGTATATAAGATGAAACGGAATGAATTAAAAGGGGAGAAAGAGAAGACCTCGGGAGTACCGAAGGTAATCTCTTTCCGTGTGGTACGTTTGTGACTTTAAGTTTTTATTTTGTGTATTATTTATTTATCCGTTTTTTAAGTGTATGAGATCTGTCCTTAGTAATAAAAGTATTTATAGTTTTTTTGATTTAAAAGAAGGTTTTTATCATTGTGAATTAGATTCTGAATCTGTTAAGTTGTGTACTTTTAGTAGTCCTTTTGGATCATATAGTTTTAAGCGTTTACCATTTGGTTTGTCAATGGCACCAGAGATTTTTCAAAAACTAATGATGAAATATTTTGGTGATATTCCAGGAGTATTAATATATTTTGATGATTTATTAGTGTGTGCTAGTTCTAGAGAGGAACATGATAAAATTATTTGTAGAGTATTGGAAAGAGCTCGAAAATATAATATTAAGTTTAATTCAAAGAAATTACAATATGCAACTAATGAAGTTAAATTTTTAGGATTTATTTTTAATGAAAAGGGAGTAAAACCTGATAATGATAAAATTCAGTCTATACAAGAGTTAACAACACCTATAAATAAAAAACAACTCCAATCATTCTTAGGAATGATAAATTATTTAAGAGCATTTTTACCTAATTTATCGGAACGATTAAAACCTTTTAGAGAGCTTCTAAAAAAGAATGTTTTGTGGAATTGGAGTGTTGAATGTGAAAGGGCATTTTGTGATTTGAAGGAGAGTCTATGTAATGTGACAATATTGGCTAATTTTAATAACGATCAAGACCTAGAAATACAATGTGATGCGTCTGAGGGGGCTTTGGGCTGTTGTATTTTCCAAAACAAGCGGCCTATATATTATGCATCGAGATGTCTGAGTGAAATTGAGAAAACATATGCTCAAATAGAAAAAGAAATGCTTGCTATTTCTTTTGCATGTACTAAGTTTCATTCATTGATTTATGGAAGAAAAGTGACTGTGTTTACTGATCACCAACCTCTTGTTTCAATTATGTTAAAAGAACTGAACAAAATTCCCAATAATCGAATAAGGAGATTACGAATGAAATGTATGTTGTATGATATTAAGGTGAAATATCTCCCAGGTAGAGAAATGTATGTAGCTGATTTGTTAAGCAGGAATTATATTAAAAGAGATGTAACCGGTGAAACGATAGTAAATGATGTAGTTCATGCAATTAGTGAAATACAAATTAATTTTTCAAATGATAAGGAGGATGAGTTTAAGAGAAATACTGGAAATGATGAGGTGTTAAAACAAATTATGGAATTTTGTAAAAAAGGTTGGCTTAAGGTTAAGTGTGAGGGTGAACTCAAACATTATTGGAAATTGAGAAATGAAATATACTTGGAGAATGGATTAATTTATTATGGTAGTCGACTAGTTATTCCTAAGGTTATGAGACAATATATAATTAAAAAGCTTCATGAACCACATTTTGGTATAAGTAAAACAAAAGCTAGAGCAAAACAATTATTTTACTATCCAGGTATAAACAATGAGATAGAAAATTGGATTAGTGCTTGTCCAGTATGTTTAAAATTTAGCTCTAGTAAAACTAAAGAACCTTTAAAATCACATTTTATACCTAATATTCCATTTTATAAAATTGCACTAGACATTGCTGAGTATAATAAAATAAATTACCTAATTATTGAGGATTACTATTCTAGATGGCTAGAGGTTATTAAATTAGGTTCTAAAACAAGTGAATCAGTAGTAATTAAGTTAAAAGAAGTATTTAGTAAATTTGGCATACCAAATGAAGTCGTAGCTGATAATATGCCTTTTGGTAGTGTTAACTTTCATCAGTTTGCTAAAGAGTGGAATTTTAAAATTACCAACACAAGTCCACAGCATGCACAGAGCAATGGGCTTGCAGAAAAAGGAGTTGGGATAGCTAAAAATATGTTAAAAAAGTGCTTGTATACAGGTTTGGATTTTGAATTGTGTTTACTTATGTATAGAAATACACCCGTTGCTGGTCTATCTTATAGCCCCGCCCAACTTTTACAAAGTAGAGAACTTAGGAGTACATTAATAGTGAAAGATAATAACTTAAAACCAAATGTTGTAGAATGTTATGATGAAATNATAAATAAAAAATAAAAGTGTGCTTTCTTGTATTATAGAATAAACATAATTTCTATTTAATTAAAATTAGTTTTTATTTACACCTAGAGATTTAAAGACTAAAATTAAAACAAAAAGTAAAAAATAAATATAGTTAAAAAAACTAAAAAACACGCTTTTAAAGCACTTCGAACTAATAAGTTCAAAATAATTTTTAAAATAAGCCCTAAACAATAATGAACGAAAAATACTAGCATTATTGTGATAAAAGCGTGGATGCTTTGTGCCATATTTTTAACACGCTTATATTAGTTTCACCTGTATGTATGTATGTATGTATGTTTGTAACTCTCCAAACGCCACGCGTTATCGCATATTCCGTTGTCTAGACTAGACTGTTATACGCATTCACCCCTCCCCACGCCTCGCTCACAATACGACGGTACACTATTCCTATAAAAATTTATTTTTAGTTATCGTACCCGTACACGCGTGCTTGTCATCAATATTATATATATGTAAACAAATTTTTATTTTGACTGACCAATAACGCCCGCGTCTAATGCGCCTTACGTATATATATATATATTCCTACCGCCGTTTATACCTCGGGTATAACGTTAGTCCGACCCGCCCGGCCATAAAACACAGCTATACTTAGTGCATGATACTTTTACGTAGTTAAGTCGCATTATTTGTATAAATATATATATTCTAATTACTATTAAAATTAATATATTAACACGATTTATTCTAATTAAGAGATATAAAGTATTCATTCCGATTACGAGGGATGATTTCCGTATCGTCATTTTTCGTCACTACCTCCACGTTCCGGGAGTGAGTAATTTACGCGCCTGCTGCTTTCCTTGGATGTGGTAGCCGTTTCTCAGACTCCCTCCCCAGAATCGAACCCTGATTTCCCGTTACCCGTAACAACCATGATATTGATAGTAACTACTATCATAACATGAAACTAAAAAGTAAAAAATAAATATAGTTTAAAAAACTAAAAAAACACGCTTTTAAAGTACATCGAACTAAAAAGTTNTTTTTATTATATTTTAGTTTTTTAAACTATATTTATTCGTATATTGAGCGCCCGACGCTTTTATCACAATAATACTAGTATTTTTCGTTCATTATTGTTTTACGCTTATTTTAAAAATTATTTTTAACTTTTTAGTTCGATGTGCTTTAAAAGCGTGTTTTTTAGTTTTTTTTAAGCTATATTTATTTTTACCAATTACATTATCATATTAATTATATACAAATTAAACAATTACATATAGTAATACATTAACATAAAAAAAAGGAGTAACATCACCCAGCTACCTAAAGCTTATGTCATGTGCTATAAAATGAAAAAAAAATTTGTCCCGACGTCCTATCTTCTATGCGCAAATAGCTACCGTATTCAAAAATCTGCTATTTTTGTATTAAAATTCGGAGTTTTGTATTTTATTTTATTTGACTATATCTTAAAAGGGCAATATACTGACTTTCATGAATATTATATAATTTAATTGATATAGAATATTGTTCATAAGACATAAGAAGTGCCAACCCTCACTAGACCTACTTTATTCAACGATACGTCAAATGATTACAATTTGTATTTAAATTTGTTATTACTCTTAAAAATCGAAAAATGTTTCTTATTCAAATAAAAAGTAGCTTAAACAGCTTTTTTCATACAAACAATTACAATTATTAATTTCTAATATTCTTAAGGTATTTATTGTCGAATTAGATTTGATATGATAAAAGTATTCAACTAAGTAAATAATTTTACATTATTATGAAAGTTTCAATACATTCATAACAAGACTCTACGGAGAGGACATGAAGAAAACTTGTAGACGTTGGGACAATTTATCCCAGAAAAAGGCTACACTATGCAAATATGAATAAATCCTCAAGCTTTTCAAATAACTTTACATTGTAATTCGTTAATTTTTTAACTCTATTTATGTGTGCTACTACCAGTCTATAATATTCCAAATTTGTTCGTAACAAGTAGCTATATAAATCATTTCTAAAAAAATGATTGTAAGTTTCTCCTGAATTAATAATGGATTTAACAATTATAATCAAATTTTATTATACGCTCAATTGAGTGTATCTTTTTAACAACTTTGTTTTGATTGGTTCATTTAGTTAAAGTAAATCATTAAAATTAATTCAGTTCTGGATATTTCAATTGTAGAACCTTTTTAAGTACCAAAAGTTACTGAGAAATGATTACTATGATTTCTATTTAAGTGATCTATTACAATAAAAATGCAAATATATAATGAGTTTTTCTGATAAATATACTGTAAATAGTAATAATAAAATTTCCTGACTGCATATCAATCTTAAAAATAGCATTGTTTTAATTAATTCTCATAAAATTTTATAAGAATTCATTATCATTAATATTATTTATTAATATTTAATATCATTAAATAGAATGATGTCAATTTCAAACTTGTAATTGAGCTAAAAGTTATGGTAACATTTGCAATTTAAGATTCGATGCGAAAATGTATTAATTTTACCATGATGTGTTTTTTTTTTTATGTCAGTCACTACTTTTTCTCAGCTTTCACTGGACCGATTTCTTTCAACAATACGTCAAAAGATCACAAATCGTATTTAGTGAAGACATTACCCTTAAAAATTGAAACATTTTTTCTCGTTCCCCGAAAATGGGGAAATATCCAAAAAAAATATAAATTTAAACTTATAAAAATAAACAAATCAACATAAACAAATCAACATAATTTTTTTTTATACTAAAACCTTAGATATTTTGCTTTCATTTGATATCATTTTTTTGAAAATCTAACACTTAATCTGCTCATAGGGAGGGGATTTAAAATAGCAACTATTTAACAAAAATTAACTTTTTCAACTTAATTTTTGAAAATGTTCCAAAAATACTGCATCCTTTAACCATATACCAAATTAAAGCTTATTTTATGTACTATACAATGAAAAAATAAAATTTGTCCCGATACTTTATCTTCAGCATGTAAACGGCTGCCGTAGTTAAAAAAACGCTATTTTTGTGTTAAAATTTTCGATTTTAAATTTTCAACTTAAAAATGTTATAACTTTTCGAAAAATGTATGTATCAGCACAAATTTTTTTTTCTAAATATATTATAAGTACATCTTTTATTTGACATACTTTCTATTAAAATTAGACAATTTCCTCTTATTTAGCGGGCGTTCAAAACTTAAAACATTGTATAAAAAATAGAACTTTTGAAAAATTTCCGGAAATACTGCGTCCTTTAAACATATATCAAATTAAAGCTTATGTCATGGACTATAAAATTACAAAAAAAAATTTGTCCCGACGATCTATCTTCTATGTGCAAATGGCTGTCGAAAATTAAAAAAAAATGTAATGTTTGCGATAAAAATCACCTTTTATCGGAATGTTTTTTGTTCTTAAAACTGCCATAACTTTTTCAAATATTAAAAAATCAAAATAAAATTTTTTTTTATTGAAACCTTAGATATTTCCCTTTCATTTGATATCATTTTTTTTAAATCTAACACTTAACCTGCTCATAGGGGAATTTAAAATAGGATACTTTTTTACAAAAAAAACTTTTTTAACTTGACTTTTGAAAATGTTCCGGAAACACTGCGTCCTTTAAACATATGTCGAATTAAAGCTTATGTCATGTACTATAAAATTAAAAAAAAAAAAATTGTGCCCGACCTATCTTCTATGCGCACATGGCTACCGTATTCAAAAATATGCTATTTTTGTGTTAAAATCCTGGGTTTTGTATTTTATTTTATTATAAAATATCTTATAAGGGCAATAAACTGACTTTCATGAATATTATATTATTTAATTGACATAGAATAAAGTTCATAAGACATAAGAAATTAAACTTATTAAATTTTTTTACTTTTTTAAAGTTGAAAAAGTAATTTTTAAATTTGAGTTAGTTTAAATAGCCAATTTTATCAAACGACGAAAACATCGAATAATTGACGAGTCGGTAACACTTGTATTTTTCACGTGAAACGTACAAGGTTTTTTTTTTTTTAATTATTATTTTATATGTAATTAATAATAATATAAAAAATTAGAAGTTATAGAAAAAGTCTAATTGTAGATTTGAAAACATCGCGAAAAGTTGAATTAGAATGGTATATTTTTGTTACTGATGAAAGTTCCTTGTAGTTCAGTGCATTTATTTATAGTAACAAACAGTTTTTATTGAAATTTATTGTATCAAGCCCTTTAAATTTTTATACATGTAAAAGTAAAGCAAAATATAACTTCTTTATTATTTTTATAATTCCTTCGTATAAATTATAATATTAAATTATTGAATATCAATTTCATACTAAATTTAATAACTATAATTAGTATTTGTTTATATATTATATTTTAAACTCAAAGAACTACTAATCAGGATATGATTAAAGAAATAAGGGTTGATGTTGCTTTTGTAATCATCCACCAATTTCTTAGAATTAAACTCTATCTACAGATTTGCATCGAAGCGTTACTTATGATAGTGATTTTAATCACTGTCAGATATCATCTATACTTGTCCCATCTATGCCTCGTCCACACTGTGCCTCGACCCCACTGTGCTACCGTTTTTTTTTTATATGTAAATACTTATTTTTTAATAATAAGTAATAATATTAAAACTTCGAATTGATAGAAAAAGTTTAATTGCACGTTTAAAACATCGCGAACAATTCTTTTTGAAAAGTATTCCTTGTAGTCTAGTGTATTTATTTATAAGTAACAAAAATGTTTTATCAACAAGTATTGCATCAATCCATTTAAATATTTATACACGTTAAAAGTAAAGGAATATATTACTATATAACTACTTTATTATTTTTATAATTTCTCCGTATAAATAGCAATATTATATTACTTAATATCAATTTCATACTAAATTAAATTACTAAAATTATTATTTATTCATATATAATAATTATAAATCAAATAACTAATCGGGATAAAATTAAGAGAATAATAGTGGTTATTATTTTTGTAATAATCTACCAATTTTCTAAAATTAAACACTATCTATGGATTTGAAGTTTTTTATGATAGTGATTTAACCACTGTCATCTATATTGAGATCATTTATATTAAGATCAATTATATCACGTTCTTGCTGCTCTTGGTTTTCAATTTGCATATTTTTATAATCATCGATTACTTCGTGATATAATTTCGCTAATATGTTTCTAAATGCTAAAAGAAAATAAAAAAAAATATTAGTAATTGATTAAAATTAACTTTATGTCAGTTTTTTATTTTATATTAGAATAATTTAACTTGATAAATTAATAAAATAACTTTTTATCAACTATAACTTTTTAGATAATCCTTATAATTTAAAACGATTATTAATGATAAAAATAATCATGTATATTGGCTATTTTATTTTTTTGAAACACATTTTTTAAATAATTTAAACATATAGCATTGCTCTCTGATTAACGATTAAAAAGTTATTTTATTTATATATCATGTAAATCAGATGAAATTTTTTATTTCAGAAGTTACTTAAATAAAAATATATATAATTTTATTTAGTAAAACTGAATCTTATGTCAAGTAAAATTGGATATCCTTACTACAAATTGAGGGGTTATAAGATCAAATCTAATAGTCAAATTTAATAACATTTGATGCCATATGCAAATGGTTCCATTTGGTTGGATATAAATAAATTCAGTAAATAAAGATTCCATTCGCCATTCCAACCCAACCTTAGATGGTTAGTATAAAGTCTAAAAAATTATACGTGATATTTATTTTACCTTTAAAGCTTATATCTTGTGCGTTTGCATATTCATCAGTTATTAATTCAGTAACTCTTTCTTCCGTGACTTCCATGTCAGTAAATATTATAGCATTTAATAATTCTTTTGTAGTCATCTTTCTTTCTTGGTTCAAAAATGTCAAGTAATGTTTGCATAATCTTTTTTCAATTATTTTTACAACTTTTTCCATTTGTATTACAAATTTATCAATTTTTATTTCTTTGTCATCTTTTAAAGTAAAAATTATGTGTTATCAATTCATTTTTATTTAAAAAAGTGGTAATATCAATAACTTTATTATTAATAATCACTGACCGATATTTTAATATCACTTATTATAATTAATTTATTATAATATTATAAATAATAATTTATACCAGAATAAGTTCTTTATATTAATTGAAGATCTAATAATACTTTCTAAGACGTTTAAATTATTATATTGATTAAATTTTATAAATACTTGTCAAAATTTCAAAATTGTTAAAAAAAATTAATTGCAGTAGAACTTAAATTATGAAATGAAAAGAATTATATGATACCTATCTAAATTGGTTATTGTTAATATTTTTTTCTCAACTTGTTTCTGTTATAGTATAATATTTAAAATTAATAAAAACCATTTTGTATTTATTTCCATAATAAATTAAAACTTTATGATGTTTTGTTTAATACTCATTTCTTGTTGATTTTTAATGAAATAACAAACATTATTGGTAGGTTCTAATCTATTCCTTCATTGAAATATTTTTTTTTATTAATTAAGTACATTTGGTTATTATGTTCAATATAATTTTTAGCCTTTGAGAGCAGAAAATTAAGTGTTGCTCAGTTTTTAGGAATTATAATCCCCCATTCTATTTTTTTCCACTTTAACCACTGTTTAAAATCAAAATGTTATTGTACCTATTATTTTGAACGATACAATTAAAAGATATGTAAATATATTAAATTTTAAATTATAATAGTATTTGTTGAAAAGAAAATTTAACTTTATTATCATAATTAGAGCTATATTTACTATTTTCAAGTCCTTCAGTGAATAATTTTTCAATGACTTCAATACTAAAACGGTGTACCAATTCAAAAACTCTAAATAATTCTTTAAATCTATTTATGTCCATACCTTCCTCACAATTCTTATTTTCATCGTAAATAATCTTCAAATTATTAATGCATATAATATTTAATTTTATCGTCTAAAATTAATAATTAAATGTCATATAATTGGATTAGATGAAATTAATAATATATCTTAAAATATTAAGATAAAACATTGATAAACACTAATTAAAATAATTTTCATTAAAAACTCATCGATGCAAATTTGTAGATAAGGTTTAATTTTTATATGGAATTGTTGGATTATTCCAAAAGCAAATCAACTCTTATTTTCTTATGCATATTCCGATGAAAACTTTTATGATTTATAAATTAAATAAATAGATAATTATTATAGTGATTAAATATAGAATAATATTGATATATAATAATATAATATTTTAATTTTATAGGAAAATATAAAAAAAATAAGAAAAAAAATATTTATAATTCAAACATAAAAATTATATATATTTATTTTTTTATAAATGAGGAGGGGATAAATGGGGCACTTAACTCTCACAAATTATATTTAGCCAAAGATATCCTCAAATTTGAAAAAATTGGGGGGAATCACTATAGTAACTCAAAAATAAAAAGATTTTTATTTTTAGGGGAAAAAGGGAGTTACTATTTATTTTAATAATAAAAGTTTCTCGGGTATGAATTTGAGAGTTTATGAGAATAGTGAAAGATAATAGAAAAACAGAGTGATTTTTTTAGTGATCACTCAATATTTCTTTGTCCCTATATTAACCATATACTTAAAAGAGTTAATGTTTTTTAAACCTAATTAATTTAATTAATTAGTATTTACCTCGGTGTTTTCGTAGAATGTCTAGAGAATGAATTAAGTCGTAAGTTAATTTTTGATTAAATCTGAACGTATCTGTTCACTTCTTACACATGAATAAAACGATTGAGATTAATGAGCTGCGTCAATACTGGGAGCACGCCTGGATCAATGTAGAATGAGCCCCCGGGAGTATACTGACGAAACACTGAGAGCATGCCGAGAGTATACTGCCCATTTTTAGGTTTTTTTTGTCCCCTTTTATATGCTGTTTTGTTAATTTTTATAGCTATATTCATATGCAAGAAGTGTCAGAAACGCTATTGTTATCTCTTTATTAAATTATTTAATATATGTTATCTTAAAAACTAATATACTATACTGGACAATGATTAATTATTTCATTACAAAATTGACATATCAGTGACAATCCATATTAACATTTATGTGTATTTTATTATTTACATGAAAGTTTTAAATTAATTTAATTTATTGCTTAACAGATAATATTTATTATATTGCCCATATGTGACTGTATGACAATTTTAATTTCAATTTCATTTGAACATTTTTTTTTTTTTACCTTTTAATCATATATTTCTTTTCTTGCTTTTACTTTTTATATTTACAGTATAGATTCTAAATTTCTCAATTTTATTTTATCTAATTTTTCTAATACCTATTTTTTAATTCATTGTTTTAAATATTAGTTTTTATTTTAATAGAAATCGATTCATAACATATATTTAGGTATTTAAAAATTAGTAAAAAAAAAATTTTATTAGAAGAATTCAAATACTTTAATTTTGTAAATACTTTTTTTTATTTTTAACCCTTACTAAAATTTTAACTAAGCCGGCGATTGGGCGCCACTTATAGTAACTCAAAAAGAAAAAGATTATTATTTTTAGGGGAAAAAGGGAGTTACTATTTATTTTAATAATAAAAGTTTCTCGGGTATGAGTTCGAGAGTTTATGAGAATAGTGAAAGATAATAGAAAAACAGAGTGATTTTTTTAGTGATCACTCAATATTTCTTTGTCCCTATTAAACCTAATTAATTTAATTAATTAGTATTTACCTCGGTGTTTTCGTAGAATGTCTAGAGAATGAATTAAGTCGTCTGTTAATTTTTGAATAAATCTGAACGTATCTGTTCACTTCTTACACATGAATTAAACGATTGAGATTAATGAGCTGCGTCAATACTGGGAGCACGCCTGGATCAATGTAGAATGAGCCCCCGGGAGTATACTGACGAAACACTGAGAGCATGCCGAGAGTATACTGCCCATTTTTAGGTTTTTTTTGTCCCCTTTTATATGCTGTTTTGTTAATTTTTATAGCTATATTCATATGCAAGAAGTGTCAGAAACGCTATTGTTATCTCTTTATTAAATTATTTAATATATGTTATCTTAAAAACTAATATACTATACTGGACAATGATTAATTATTTCATTACAAAATTGACATATCAGTGACAATCCATACTAACATTAATGTATATTTTATTATTTACATGAAAGTTTTAAATTAATGTAGTTTATTGCTTAACAGATAATATTGATTATATTGCCCATATGTGACAGTATGACAATTTTTACTTGACAATAGTTATCATAGTTCATTGCTTAGATAAGAATTGTAATGAGAGGTCAATGTATTATAACATCACTCAAAAACTTATAATTTTAAAAAACTCAGCACAGTATGGAAGTGATATAGTTAATTTTAGTTTAGATGATATCTGACAGCGTGTTTAATTTTAAAAAGTTGATTATAATTGTAAAAATCTATTGTTAATTCAGGAGAAACTAACAATCATTTTTTTTTTATAAACGATTTACATTTTAAATGTTACCAAAAGATGTGGAATATTATAGTAATACACACAAATAAAGTAAAAAAAAAAAACGGAAGCACAGTGGGGTCGATGCACAGTGTAGACAAGGCATAGATGGGACAAATATAGATGATATTTGACAGTGATTAAAAATCACTATCACAAGAAACGTTTCGATGCAAATCTCTAGATAGTGTTTCATTTAGAGAAATTGTTGGATTATTCCAAAAGCAACTTCAACTCTTATTTCTTTAATAATATCCTGATTAGTAGTTCTTTGATTTTAAAATATAATATATGAATAAATACTAGTTATAGTTTTTAAATTTAGTATGAAATTGTAAGGCTAGCTGTATGATGTATGGTTCATAGTGTTGGGTGGTTGATAAGAAAGTAGAGCAGAGAATAAGTGTATCAGAGATGAGAATTGTTAGTTGGATGAGTGGAGTGACTAGAGAATATAGGATAAGTAACGAGCATATAAGAGGAACTATAGGTGTTGAGTTAATAGTGGATAAGATGACAGAAAATAGACCTAGATTGTTTAGTCATGTTATGAGGAGAGAAGAATCGGAAGCTGTAAGAACAGTTATGAAATTTACAGTACATAAAATAAGCTTTAATATATATATATGTTTAAAGGACGCGGTATTTCCAGAACATTTTCAAAAATTAAGTTGAAAAAGTTAGTTTTTGTAAAAAAGTTGCTATTTTAAATCCCCCCAGTGAGCAGGTTAAGTGTTAAATTTTCAATAAAATGATATCAAATGAAAGGAAAATATCTAAGGTTTTAGTATAAAAAAAAATTATGTTGATTTGTTTATTTTTGAAAAATTTATGGAAGTTTTAAGAAAAAAAAGTGAAAAAATTTCGAAAATTAGCGGTTTTTAAATTTGTAACTTTTTTGGATATTTCCCCCATTTGCGGGGAACGAGGGAATTTTTTTCAATTTTTAAGGGTAATGTCTTCAACTAAATACGATTTGTGATCTTTTAACGTATTTTTGAAAGAAATTGGTCCAGTGCGAGCTGAGAAAATGTGGCAACAGGTATAAAAAAAAAAATAACACATCATAGTAAAATTAATACATTTTTTGAAATTAGGTTGTTTTCATGATAAAAATAGCTACCTTAATATGCTATTTTTGTCTTGAATTTAAAAAACGCCAACTTTCCCCAAAAAGCAAGTTTTTTAAAAAGTGATTAAAGTTTAGAATTTCACATAATTTTTGTTTTATGTAAACTTTAAGTTATAATAAGGTCAAGTCTAAAATTTTAATTTGATTAATTCAAAATTGAATATTTGTGTGTTGTCTGGCTATTTTAAACATTTTTTACATTGAAATAGCATTTAAATAATAAGGTGGTCATAAAATTGTATTTATCTAAATATAGCATAAAGAATAAACCCTGAAAATATTAGAAAAATATAATATGATCGTTCAAAAACTTCTGAATGATTTGACATGGATTGACCCATAAGTTTTTAATGATTCAATTATTAAGAATATTAATATTATAATAATTATATCATATATAATTATTATTAATAATTAATTATTAATTATTAATTATTCAATTATATAAATTATTAATATTAATTGAAATATTTTTAAACACCAAAAAGTACTTAAAAATTATTACTATGATTTTTATATATTTTGTTTGTTTTATATGCGATTCAAAATTATAACACTTCCACAAAAAATTAACTTATGAAAGTGTTCCGGAAATACTGACACTTTTATATATATCTTAAATTAAAGCTAGTGTAATATATTTTAAAATGAAAAAAAATTGTTTGAACATTAATTTGTCTTCATAATGAAAATGACTACCATATTCAAAAAATATGCTATATTTGTAATAAAATTCTGGGTTTTGTATTTTATTTTATTATAAAATAACTTACAAGAGGAGTACACTGATTTTTAAAAATATTATATAAATCTAACTGACATAGTATATAAAGTTAAACTTATTTAAATTGTTTTGATTCTTTTAAGTCGAAGAAAATAACTTTGAAATTTAAACTAGCCTAAATTGCCATTATTATTGACAGACGACGAATGCGTTGTACAGTAGTGTTGATAACACTTGTGTCCCTCACGCTTGAGGTACGGTTTTCAAACGCATCTGTAGCAATGAATTTTTTGCAATTTTTGCTTAATTATTTTTGAGTTACAAATCAATTTTTTACTCATTTGACTTTTATCTCAATTTGACTTTCAAATTCAATGAATATCAAGGACCCCATCACTATAGTCTCGCCTCGTGAGAAGAAATTTCGATTTTAAATTATTTTACTAAGTGTTTTTTTTTTATTTATCATTCATTTTTTTTAGCTCTCACTTAACAAATTTTTTTTAATAATACATCAAATGATCACAAATAGTATTTAGTTAAAGATATTACCCTAACAAATTGAAAAAATTCGCCTTTCTCTAATAAAAAGTGCATAACCAGCTTTCTGTACATAGACAATTAAAACAATTCATTTCTAATAATTTTAAAGTATTTACTATCAAATTTGGTTTCATATGTTTATAGGTTTCAACTAATAATTAAATGATTTTTCTTTGTAGTTTATTAATTTTTTAACTCTATTTTTGTATGTTACTACCAATCTATAATATTCCAATTTTTTTTGTAATATGTTACTATATAAAACATTTCTAAAAAAATTGATTTTTAGTTTCACCCGAATTTAACAATTAATTTTTACGTTTACTATCAATTTTTATGATACGCTTAATTGAGTTGACTTTTTTAACAATTTTTTTATTGGTTTTTTGGTTGAATAAATTCATTAAAATTAATTCAATAACAGAATATTTTTAAACACCAAACGTTACATAGAAATTATTACTATGATTTCAATTAAAATTATTAATTATGATAATAATGCAAAAAAAAGTAGTTATTTTAACGTTTTTTTACATAAACTTACAAGATGTTTTATTTGTTTTTAAGTAATTATAAATGAAAGAACTTCTAATCATCTATACTTATCCCAACAATGCCACGTCCTCACTTTGCTGTGACATCACTGTCCTACAGTTTTTCTTAAGAAAAATTAAATCATAAAAAATAGAATCTGATATCAGTTTTAGAAAAATTACAATTCAAATAAAATGGCTCCCTTTTTGCAAAAAAAAAATAGTTACCTGTTATTTTATTATTATGATTTAGTAACCAAATTTTAAAATTAAAATATGAGCTACATTTTATTTATCGCATTACTAATTATTTTCATGAGGTACTGATTCTCGAACAAAACCATGATAAACTTTTTTTTTTAAATCAAATTTGAATTAAATTTGATGAATTGTGTAAAAATGCTATACCTATCTAAGATAAAAAAATAATAATCTGCATCTTAATAAACATTTAGATATTCTCAAAATGAATATTCTAATTAGAATACATTTAACAATTTACATTTATTAAAAATTAAATAATAACATTTTACCGGGTCCAAAGGTGGAAAAGTGAAAAGAAATGCGTTTGAAAGACTTCCAGTTAAATATATCACGATAAAAATGTAAAAATACATTATTGGTTTGATAAAGCAATGTTTTCGAATAAAACTTAAACAATAAAAGTTAAACAATTGAAATGATAGATTAATTAAAATTCGATTTATTTTATAACAACAATGTGTTGAATTAGTGTTAGAAAAACGTCATTTTAAAAATAGAAATAAAAGCATTTAATAAATTTAATTTTTTTTAATATATATTAATTATTATTTAAAACTAAGTAAACATTTTATTTATTGATAAAGGTGCAGAAACTAGTTTTATATAAACATCATTGTACTAAAAATACTAGTAAAAACTTGATTTCTTTTTTTTCAGTTATCACTGAAAACTGACATTTAAGTCTATAAATGAATAAGCTTTGATGTATGAAGTTTTTTTTTTTTTAATTACTACTAAATTTTTCATTAAATAGTTATAATGAATTATGTATTTAACTAAGAAAATAGGAAAAACATTATTTTTGGTTTTTATTAATTTATAAAACTACATGTTTTTTGCACGATTGTTCAATGTTTGTTCTACTTAACTAAAAAATAGAATTAAATCATTTATTTTGATTTATTTCACAGGTCATGTTTCTTATTTACCTCTCTGCCATATTAATAACTACATGATTTATAATGCAACCCACGATATGAGAAAACAGTCATCTATCCTAGTATTCAAAACATTTTTCGACAAATTTACCTTAAGTTAAAGCTTATATAATATACTATATAAAAAAAAATTACCTATGGACTTGTTTTTGTGGTTAAAACGAACAACAAAGTTTAATTAAAAAAAAATTAATAAATTGTTCCACTTATAATTCAAAGAACATCAATCAGGTTATATTTAAAAAAATAAGAGTTGATGTTGCTTTTAAAATAACCTACTTATTTCTTAAAATTAAAAACTATCTACAAATTTGCGTGGAACCGTTTTTTATGATAGTGAATTTAATGACTATCGGATATCATTTATATTTGTCCAAATATGTCACATATCCACTATGCCACGGACCCCAGTTTTATAATAGTGAAATTTGTAACAGTTTTGTCTCGTATTGTGAGATTTAATTATTGTAAAAATGCTATAACAGTTATAATAAATAAGTTACGAATGAATTATAACACCATTTTATTAGCAATTAAATTAAGGAATTTTAATTAATTTATAATAATAATAATTCGCATAAAAAAATAATATTGTCTAATAATTCTATAAGAGCATGTCACATTTTATACTGTAAGAACATTTATTAGTATGTTCTTATCACTAATATGTTCTTATACACGTTTCATTTCCATTTACTTAATTCGTAATACATATTAATTAGCATAGAGATCTTAGTATTTAAATCGAGTTATGATATATACTTTCTATCTTTTTAAGGCACTCATATACGAAGTCAATTACCTTAAAGTGTATATAAGTTATAGTCAATATAATTCAAAGAGTTGAAAAAATTACAAAAATTTGAGAAAATACGATAACGATTCAGAAATTTTTAAAATGGAAATAGATAGTAAATGTAATGATTATGGAACTATAAGTTATGTAGGTATCCAAAGTTTAATGATATAAATAATCAGTGTAGAGTAATGAATTATATAACTAATAAATATAGAAAGAACAAATTTAATAACAATTTTAGAAATAATGTAAATAAAAACTATAACAATAAAAATTATAAAGGACATTTCTATAGATTTAGCAACATGCTATCATGGTATTTCTATCATAATAATCGGTATAACTACTACGGTTGTATACAAAGATCACCACATTATCTTCAAAATAATCCTAATTAAGAAAATCCTAGTCATTCGACATTTTGTTCCATTTTCTATTTCTTACAATGTTTCTCATCGATCACCATCAATATGTGAAACAGCGCGCAAAATTTTAATTAATAAAAATTGAATAAATTTTACCCACTTATAGTTAATGAAAAACTCAATATTTATGATAGGATATACTAGTTGTGAATTAAACACTCGATCCTTGAATTCGATTAAAACTAAGGATTTTCCATTAATAATGGTCAAAGTAATTAAAATAAATATTATTTTCGTCGTTGATACAGTAATAAATATAAGTAAAGTTTTTAAAAAAATATAGAGCGACCAGAGAGGCTAAAATTACTTTTTTAAAAAACAATGAAAAAGTAAATATAATTTTTTGACAACAAAGTATCTTGACAACCAAAACAAATGTTGATCGATTATTTAAAATCTATCAAACTCATGACTAATCATTCAATATATCTTGTACAGATAGATGTTTTGAAATTTCCGCGATAAGCGACATTTTAACATAAGTGTAGCATCAGAATATTGGTGTGGAGTATCAACGCTAAAAACAGTCTTACATAATAAAGGTATAGATATTAATGCTTATTAAATTAAAAAAATATTTGGCATTCATCTGTCTGATAAACCAATTTAATTAGAAAGTGAAGACTTAGCAGCCATCACAAATCCTTTTCGTTTAGGCTTAATAATTGCATCAGAAAACACTAATATTAATTGTGTATTACACTTTACAAACCCTAACAAATTTTTTCTATTGGTTTTGTTTTCAAATTGCATTGGATACCCTTAGTTTACAATCCAAATACTAAATTAGTTCGCACATTTCGTAGTATTATTCAAATCAACGAATTTAATACTTTAGCCGTTAGAAGAAATATTTTGCAAAATAGAATAATTAAACGTGTTTTTACTATTTCTCCAATCTGAATGAGAAAACAAATTAAAAATATGCAGCGATAAACAAGACGTTGCAAAAAACATTAACAATGATTCTCAATGGAACACATTTTAAGGTAAAACGGTTAAACAATTATTAGAATCATTAAATGTAGACCAGAAATTACCCTAACATCCAACTTCTCAGGGTCAAATAAAGTGTCAAAACCAAACTTTATTGTTGATATAATCTCTAATTATGTTAAAGATAATGAGAAATTGTTGTCAGATTATCTATCATATATAGTATATGCTTACAACAGTTCTATTCATAAAGTTACAGGTTTGTCACCATTCTACTTAGTCTTTGGGTTCGAGCACAAAAGTGTCTTTAAATTAGCTTCAATACAATCAGAAGATCAAAATATACTCTCACAAATTTTAAAAATCCAGAAAATAAGAAAATTAATTCCAGTATTGCTTAAACAAGCGAAACAAAAACATCTTTTGTCGAGAACCACACAATATAATATTGGTGACAAAGTTTTAGTTAAAAATGAAATATCTAATACTAAATTTCGAGATCGTTACAATGGACCATATGAAATTATTAAAGCTTATCCATCTTTTACATATATATAACGATAATTATAGCAAAAATAGTATTTTAAACGCGGACCTTACTCTAATTGATGTGAGAGGTGGAATATTCCCCCAAGCCAAATTATCATTTCGTAGTCGAGTTATGATTTAAGTCCACAACTAACAACTCCCTATATTTTAAATAAGTTTTTTAGCTTTTAAAGTTTTCTTTATTAATTTATATTAATTAAACTCATTAAAATTATAAATATTTGTTCTTTGGTGAATTCTCTTTAGTAATATAGTTAAAATATTTTAAATTATTTAACACAACAGTTTTAAATTATATTTTTAAACATTTGGAATATTGAAAATTTCCATTTTTACCAGCAGGCTCAGCAGTTTATTGTATATCAACACTGTTGATTCATCTGTTGTTTATATTATCGCCAAAGACTATATGAAATAGTCTGTGCTACTGCAGTACCATATTGATGCAAAATTTTAATTTTTGTAAACTATTTGAAATTTTTTTATTATTGTTTATTTTAGCTTCGATGCAAAACCAAATAGGTATTGATATAACAATTATGTGTATTTTTTAAGTCTATCCATGATAATTCTCAGCTTTCATTGGACCGATATTAAAGGTCAATACGTTAAAAGAACCCGTTTTCAATCTAGTTGAATCTATCGCTGCCGAAAATTAAAAAAACATTGCAGCATAAGACTTACAACTTTCTATTAATATTAATTTTACATTTTATTATAGCTTGCCATTTATGCTTTATTAATACCTTTTATTTCGGAATGCTATAATTCTTACGCATATCATAGAAATACTTTTTGCATTTTAAAAATTCTCGATCTTTATTATGCTAACATATGAAATTCTAGTTTAGTCGGTTATAACACATAACATTTTTGCTGATAAAGCAATTGGCTACCGCGACATTTCAAAAACGTGACCCTGACATTCATCATTATCTCACGTGACGACATTCGATGATGATAAATAGTTAACATAGTATTCAGTATTACAATGGAATAACATTAGTTATTAAAATAAATTATTTTAGCATCTTAATACAGCTCGAATAATATTATTTTAGATTTTTATCATTATGATAATTATTAATTATTGATGAGTGTTATATTATTTTTATCGAATTTTCTCTTATTCCAGCAGCGACCGAAGATTTTTCCGGCACTGCCTGATGATGATGATTATGACAATAAATATTTATGACCCCTATTAACAATCTATTATTAATTTAATTATTTATTACGTTGATTAAAAATTATTTATCTTTATTGAAGTTAAAAAAAAAAAAACTGACTTAAGTCAGTTTAATTACTATTATTATAAGCATATTATGATAATTGATGTGTATTTTATTGCAGCCTGTCCGACGATTTCTTTTTCCAAAATCGTCTGATGATTTGTGTATAAAAAAAAAAAAAAGAAAACATGAATTACGGTTCGTTCAATACGACTTAAAAAACAATATTATTACTTAATTAGGATAAAAGTTTTATTATTAATCAAATCAAGCTACAGCGATTAAACCATACTGAATTTTAAGTAAAATAAAAAAATACGTTATTAATTAAATGAACTCGAATAATATAATTTCATTGGTCGATATAGCATATTACTCAGATGACCATTTTAATATTTTTATGACAACTAAATAGCAATTGATATCATAATTATCAAATAACCAGTTTAATATAAGTCAATGTACTGCATGATATTAATTAAGGTTGGTCAAATAAAATAAAAATTAATTTTTAGATATATTACAGGAATTGACAAGTCGATTGCTAAGAAGAACATTATTGGTTCACTCAACAACTTTAAACAAAAACTGCCATTTTCACGACAAACTGTCTAATAACTTTATTTTTCATTATTTCAGTATACATTGAAACTGTCATTGTCTACTAAGCGCAAGATTAAAGACATCAATTTACAACTTTTCATCATTGAATAATTGTTTATTTATTTTTTTGCGTATCAAAATCTGATTCTGATTTTTACGTTCCTTACAGTTGGACTAGTAGACTAGATATAGTAAGTATTATTTAAATACACGAATATTTTTATACTGTATGATAAATTAAAATAGTTACATTACCACAATTTTTATTTTTTTAAGTTATTATGCATTGGCTAGTTAAAAGTAAGATAGCAAATTATAAATTTACAGAATTTTTAGCAAATTTTTCATTTTATAAATTAGATTGACTTAAATGAATTTTGATTGTAAAATAAATTTAAACATTAAAAATTTTAATATTTATTTCTATTCTATTTCAAAGCATAATCATAATTCTAATTTTATAACCTAACACTATCATATAAATTTACCCTATTATATGTATATAAAAGCAAAAAATCTTGTAGTGCTAATGAGCTTTGAGAAGAATAAACTAAGTCATAGGAAGCAACTATAATAAATACCATTAATATCATATACCATCAATTGAAATAAATACCACAACTAATTACCTTAGAAAATAAAAAAACGCATGAAGATACAAGATTACAAGAAGTTTCGTGAATACAACAAGGTTCCCTCCCATGATTATAAAGAAAACCGTAACTTAAAAGTTTAAAAAGAATTTTTAAACAAATTTTTCTCCTTTGTTTTAATATATTTATACTTTTTTAATGTTCAGAGTGGAACCTTTAATAAGGTAAAGGGTAATGTAAGAACATATATTACTATGTTCTTGTCACTGATATTGTACACGTTTTATTTCCATTTACTTAATTCGTAATACATATTAATTAGCATAGAGAGTGATGTTTAAAATTATAGGAGGTATGTTAATAAAAGGAAATTATATATGAATTATTTATATAAAAGCGTATTTATTTTAATGCAAAAGTATTAATTATTTTAACAAAATGTAGGTGGATTTTTTAAAACTTTTAAAATTGAGTTAAAGTTGTTCAGAAAGATAAAAGAATATACTAAAGCTTATAAAGAATAATTAGTGACAGTTACTTGCGAAAGAAAGAGTAATGAATAAAAATGTGGGAAACAGGGTCTTCAGGCCTCATATAATGTGCCATGAACGACACAAACGAATATTGGACGTCTTGAATGTGTCATGATTTTTGTAGACACATTCAGTCATCTGCCCATAGTCCAATCAATGCAAAAAAGATATTTTAATTAATTTTCTCTTTTTAATACCGTTGTGGTGCCTCGAAGAGACTAAGAAATGCGATGACTCATTGCAACTATATAATTGTCAAAAGTCAAAATTACATGTGTAATTGTGAAGAGTTTTCTTTAATGTGGTTTAAAATAAAATTATATTTTATCAAAATATATATTAAAAAACATATTAACTAATATTAAAAACTTAAAAATATGTGTAAGCTAAAATATTAAATATTCTTGAAAATATATATATATATATATATATATATATATAATTGATGTTTGATCATCAAATACTTTTCAATATTTTTTTTTATAAAACAATTCATTATATGAATTTAATTTAATTAATTTCCAAAATTATTTAAGTATTCTCAGTTTAAGTTATTTAAATTATTATTATTTATATTTCGAGTCGATCAGGTAGTTCTAACGAGAATTTTATTATATTTTGAACAGTAGTACTTCTTTTTTAACTTGATTCAATTCTTATAGAAATATTTTATTTGTGAAACGATTTTACATTTAAGTGTTATGAGTCAGTTTTCGATCGCACCTGTATTAATAACTTTGAATAAAGATATAAGTTTTTTAGCCACACTTTAAAAATATAAAAATTTACCTAAAACAGAATCTTTTTTTATGGGAACTTTTAGCCAATAATGTTTTCTTTTGTCGTAATGGTTTTTACAATATACAATAAAATTAAATTGAACGTAAATTTTATTTAAAATTTGTGAGTTATAATTTTCAAATGTAATTCAAAATTTAGACTAAATATTGAGTTACAATGACATTTTACGTAAAAAAATTAAATGTTATAGCTTAAATTACAGTTTATATTAAAACTGTATTAGATTTAAAATAATTATATTATTATATATTCATATCAAAAATTAATTTTATTAAAACTATATGTAATTCATTTTTTATTACCTAATATTATAATACCAAAAATTATTTAAATAAATCTAAAAAAGTTCAAAATTATACTATTAACATCAAGTAAACCTGTGACTTCGCATTGGTTTGCTGATTTTTCATAATTTTTAATTAAACTTTTACTAATGTATAATTTTATCATAACATAAAATTATATTCATGTGTTATTTATTATAATTAGTGTGAATGAATTGTTTGATAAAAAAAAATAATTGAAAAGTATTTGATGATCAACCGTCATTTATAAATATTTATAAATTGTTAGTTTTATACAATTTCACATAAATATTTTATAACTTAATTTTTGGTCATATCAAATCATGAGCTTATGGTATAATACTGTAGAGTAGCTTGAAACACTTAATAACAGCCAACCTAATCAAAATGAATAAAATTGTATAATAGTGTCTTAATGCTTTTGTATTTCATAGTTCTTAAGAAACAATAGTATTAATAATTATTAATAATATAAAAATTAAAATTGGTTTTTCAAGGTCGATCAAATTGAAAAAAAATATGTATTTGAGATTTCAAATAATTTTGTCTTTTGTGAGTGAAAATAAACCCATAAATTACCATTATTATACCATATAATAAAACACCTGTTTTGTTTTATAAAAAGGCAATTTTAAGATAAATACAATATATAATTTTATATTTATGATAATATATCAAAATTTCAATTGTTGTTATCGTGAATAAAAACTTATAATTGAAAAGTATTTATTAATATTTCAAAGTATCATATATATTAACTTACACATTATTTTTTATAAAGCTATAAGTTTTTAAGATTAGTGAATAATTTATTTTCTACCTATAATACACATAAATATCAGACAAACTGCATAATAACAAAACATTTTAAGCTTACTTGAGACCTACTAGATATATACCATTTAATGACGTTAATTATGATATCCACACGTTATCAATTTTTGACATAAAATTATGAACTAAAAAATTTGTATTCTACAGTAAAAATCAAACTATATTGATATGCTAATCATAACATTTGACCAAAAATTGAATAATAGAGGCAGTTGTTTGTTTTTTGGGGTATTTTCAGAGGCTCGTGGCTTGGACGACGGGACAATCGCACCCCGTACTAAAATTAATTAAGAGAATAAAATTAATTGTATAATTTTAATTCTTAATTTTTAATACAAGTGCAAATTATATAATAGATATAATATATAATAGTAAAACAGTTATAATTCATTTGTCGTGTGCGAACATTAAAGTTGTTTCCCTCAGTGTACAAACACAGCAGTGTTTGGACGACCGGCAGCGTCGTCTGTACAGTAAAATATTAGTATATTACTATATTGGGTAATTTATTTTTAGAATAAAAATTTGGTAGATATACCAACTTTATCATAAAGTACACTAAATAATTGTGATCAATAAAAATTTTCACGAACATACTTCTTTATTATCTTAAAATAATAATAATTTGGTTTTTACATCATATATTTTTTTTAGTACAATTATTTAGATCTTATAATATTGACCACAGTACAACAAATTTACGTTTATACTCAACTTCACACATGTTTTATAATAACTGTATACTTGGATGAACAGTAATAATATTCTTTGGTAGTTACAGTATAACTGGTCGAATTTCTAACACAAATAATTTAATTATCTAATTACATAAAACGTTTGAAGTCATGAATAATCTACATTACAATATTAAATACTTGTTGTATGACAATAATATGATTATTATTATGGTACAATTTAAATTTATATAAAAAAAGATAAAAAAAAAAAATAACACGTACATTTTTTCTAATGAAATAAACGATTTGCATATATTTCAATGCATAAATTCATAAATAGAAGTTGCTTAATATATTTTTAAATTGTTAAGTACAAAACCACTTAATGTGCATGGATCAGTGCATTGAAGCATCACTTACTGACTAGGGTGTGTTCGATTTAAAGTTCAAATAAAAGTATTCAAGTATGATTTACAAATTTTACAATTATGCATAAAAAAATAATAATAAAGAAATAAATTACAATTATAAAACTTACATTGACATTGCACTTATTTTGTCTTGAGGACAATAAAAATTTGATAAATCTTAGATTAATTTTTTTAACAAAGTATTATTGCCTCGATTTGATAAAATTATTAAATTAAAATAGACTAGAATTGTATTGTTTAAAGAAACTTTTTTAAAATTATTAAAATATTTTTTAAGAGAGAACTTCGTCAAAAATTTGATCAGATTTGTTTTAGAATTATATTTTATAAATAAAGAAAACTCATGAAAGTTTTTAATATAATTTGTATTAAACGGTCAACTTCATTGAGTTAGTATAAATTCAATAGAATTTTTTTATAAAATTTCTATCAAGTTTTAAATAGAATTGGTAGAAATGTTACAATTAATTGTCATTAAGATAAACTTTGTATAGTAATAATTATTATTCAACTGATTCTGTACAAATAACAACGCACTATAATAATATCTTTGGTTTACTACGATGAAAAAATAGGACAAGTAGACTAACAAGGAAAAAATTACATGACGATCATTTTTAGAATACAATATATATAATATTAACTCGTTCATAAAGTAATAATCACGAAAATATCAGTAGTTAAATTATAAGTCACAATGTATGTATCATTAAAAGTCATAGTAATACATTTTATACAATGATAATATTAATGGTATTCAAAGATAATAACCAATAATTTTGATGATTTACATATTACATGTTTTTAGTATCCATAAAATTATACAATATTATATTACAACAATAATTACAATATTAAAAATAACTATTTCAGCTTTTGACGGTGTCTCATTTCGATGTACTAAAGCATATTAGCAAAATTTGTGTTATCAAAAACGTATTTTTAACTGATACCGATATAAGGTGAAGTGACTGCCACGCCAGAATTGTTCGCTTGACAAGGTGACGACGCACTGCCCAGTGGCGAAGAAGCACTTGCGCAAGCTGCCGAGTTTGCTCGAGTAGCCGCTACAGGAGATCTGGCTGCCATACTCGCACTACTGCCAGTTTCATTGCCACATATTTCATGCACACCATTGTTATTATTGTTGGTGGTGTTGTTGTTGTAGTAATAACGGTGATCTAAACAACAAACACGGTGTGTCAATTAATACCTAGAAATTGATAACAAAAAAAAAAAAATAGACAATATTTTTAAAAATCGCATTTATAACGCGTTGTAAGATTATTTTCAATGTTGAATCTTTTAACGAATGGTACAGTGAAATGTTAAACATTAACCGTAATTTGAATGAATTTTTGGCAATAACATTTGCAGAATGTCGCAAAAATTTCATTACGCCTTACGTAAACTTGATTTTCTTTGGTAATTATACGTGAAACATACGGACATAATTAAAATTAATAATAAATAATTGTAAAAATCATTCTACACGAGCTTATGTTTCAACTTTCCACCGTCACGGATATTCGATTTCAACTTTGTCGTCGTTTACACCACGTTTGGAAAAGAAATAAAATACCTACTGAGAAGACCGCTGGTACCAGTGGTGCTGTAACTGTAACCGGCATACGGCGACGGTGAGTATTGCGTATACGGCGAACTAGTGTAAGACGCGTATTCAGTGCCAGCGCCTAAAATAGACAAAAAATAAATCAGTACAATTGATATTGAATTATTTACATGGAAAAAAATATTATCATAACAACGTGGAGAAATACAAGGAGCAAAAGGACAATGCTTAAAAAGCGTGGTTTTTTATTCATACAGATGACAACAACTCTGTTAATTAGTTATGGTCGGTTAGAATATTTGTTATGCTAAAAGAGAACTTGTAAGATTTTAACATTTTATGCCGAGAGGAGTCTTACCTGTNGTGACAACAACTCTGTTATGGTCGGTTAGAATATTTGTTATGCTAAAAGAGAACTTGTAAGATTTTAACATTTTATGCCGAGAGGAGTCTTACCTGTGCTATAATGTGTGGCAAAACCGGGCAACATGGTTGGTGCCGCGGCAGCGTATACTGCGCCGTTCTGGCCATTGTTGGCCGGTTGCAAAACGGTTAAGCTGGACGGATCAGGAGACCCGGCGGGCGTAACGTCTGCAGACAGTGACGATAAGGTAACGCCGCCACCACCGCCGGACTGAGGCCCACCAGCTCCCCCGTCGTTACTAAACCCACCTGGTGTTCCGTTGTCTACACGCCAAACAAAATAAATACAAAAAGCATCAGAATCATGCAAATTACTTAATCAAAATGAAATCATTAAAATAAAAACGTACACTAGTTTGCTTTAATAATTAATAAGAGATCACTTTTTTCTTTTTTGTCAAATAAATTATTCTATAATAAAGTTGAAAAATGTCTATAGCTGTTTGCTTAAACAAATGCGTATGAAAAGTTATTACTTTGTTTTGTACATTATTTGACATTATTTTAAAGCAAACCAGAAAAATACAATACATAATAAGGATAATANAATTTTTTTTGTTTGTAAAATAAATTATTCTATAATAAAGTTGAAAAATGTCTATAGCTGTTTGCTTAAACAAATGCGTATGAAAAGTTATTATTTTGTTTTGTACATTATTTTAAAGCAAACCAGAAAAATACAATACATAATAAGGATAATATAACATAAAAACATTACTATAGCGTTTAATTAAAATAAAATTGTTTTTAACTAATTCATCGTGAAATAAATTATTCATGTGATGATATGGGTCATAAAAACTAAAATTTACAGAAGAAAAACCCACATAGTCTTATTACGATCGTTTTTTCGTTTCAAACTCAACTTTTATTCTATACAGATATGAGACTTAGTTTTTTCATCAATTATTAGGAAATGTATTTATATATGTTTCCCACGAAAATACAAAAAACGTATTTTGTTGAACTTAGTACCTTTCTAATACCATCACTTCAGTTAATTTCCTTGTATTTAAGCATAATTGCACATTGAATAAAAAATAATAATTAGCATAATAAAAAAGTCCACACAACTATTATCTAATATTTTTAATATGAGATCTGTCTAATTATTATCATAATTAATTTTTAAAAAATAATAAATATAAAACAGTAAGCAAAAGTCTAAAACTTACCTGTGTGATATTGCACGGGCGACAAATGAGAATGATCCACTAAAACTGTACCTGGACTCATCTTTTGAATTTCCTGCATGGTCAAAGGAGCTAAAGGAGTGACTCCGCCTACTAAATAAAAATAATGCCATCTAACTAAACTATTTAAACTAAAAACAACACTTTTTAGTGCCCAATGACAAAACATTAACAAAAAAAAAAAAAAGATACATAAACATGCGCGTTATTACACGGCATCTCTTGACTCTACTATGTTTATGAAAAAGCGGTAAAATGCTTAAGTAATTTTTACTATAACATTATGCTTACCGAGCGAAGTGGGTACAGGCGGTGTGTATACCGGTGTTGTGTTTTGTGTCTGTTGAGGTTGTGTCATAGTCTCGTAAAGGTCAGCCGTCAGAGGAGCGGCAGAAAATGCTGTTTGGTTAGCATCGTAGAACGGCGAAGTTCCACCGCCTGACGTAACACCGGCACTCAGTTCAGAAAATAGTTTGTGTTCATCTTTTAAACACCATTTACCCGGCCAAAGCTGTATGATAACAATCTTACTGTTAGTACGAGTATGAAATAGGATCAACCTTAAAATATTAAGACTACTCACAGATACATTTGAATACAGAGAAGCGTCACCGCCGTTGTAATGCAACTGAGATCGTTCTCTCTTGATTTGCTGATGGTTTTCCGAATTTAAATCTCGGTTTTCGTCTAAAAGTAATTTATAGTTCATTTTTTTTATAAATTATACCTATTATTTATCAATATAGACAGCTAAATAGTTCCTTCTATTATCTCTCTTCCTTCCTGCACTTAAATTTTTACATATTCGCATTTGTTAAAATAAATTAATACAAAGACACTCAATCGAACATTTATGTGTGACCCTTTTATAAGCTACAAAAAAAAAAATAAATAATAAAACACTACAGAACACTACAAGGCTANAAATAAATAATAAAACACTACAGAACACTACAAGGCAACAAAACATTTCCCCGGGGTCAAAGAGCAGATTGTGTTTCGCTGCTTATTACCCCGTTCCCGTTGGGAATATGCGTATACAAAGCTTTAAATGTCAAACTAATATATTGAATTACGCTGGGTACGCGCCCCCCCCCCTCGGTCGTTTGGAGCTTCTGAAAATACGAGACACTTAATGTTGTCGATTTAACATAAATCTGATTGGTCAATTTGAATACACTTTATAATAATAAACAACCTTTATGGACTTTAGGGAAATTCATCGATTTCTGTGCAATAAAACAATAATAAATATCGAGATTTACTTTCATAAGAATTTTGCCACAAGACATACACAAACAACATGTGCTATAAGAAAGTTCTATTCCATCAAGTATTTTATTGTGCAAAAAGTAAATTAAATGTTAAGTGTTATAATCAATACCATGGTGACTTTTATATCTCCAAGTCTCAAACCGTCATTTTCAAAATGATAAATGAAAAAAAACTCAATTGGACTCTTTCAACCATTATGTTGTGCAGAACATTAGCAGGCATTCATTGTTACTTAATAATGGGTATTGAAAAACGTAGATAACGTGTGTTAGTTAAAGGTGCACACAGTTCACAATAACACAAAACTATTTTAACTGTACAAGGGCTTAAATCTCGTGTTATGTGTGCTGGACGATACCTTGTATATTATTAAACGGTGGTTAAACTTACAGCAACCTTCTCGGAATGAATCGAATCGCAAAGGGTATTTTAAGATGTATAATATTATTTGTTTCCAAACACCCATATATACGGTATATAAAACTTAGCGCTTGTATTGATAATCCGTGGTAGTCGGTCAAAAGCTTTGAAAAAGTTAAAAATGTAATGCGAAAATCATCACAAATACCATCGAATAATTTTATTTGTCTGTATAATGTGTACTTTATTTTAATAATATTATAATTGGTATGGTAAGATAAGACAACCATCATAATCGATGTATTGTAGGGTAACATTGCATATAGCGTAACAAACCCAAGAGACGACGAAAGGACTTCACGCAAAACAAAAGAAGTTTTAAGTTCGTCAAAAGTTTCGCTTTCAGTGTATATAGTACAAAAGAACCTTTCTGCAGTATCGACGGCACGGATATCAGAGCCCGTTACAAAGTGAGCCTAATGCTTTCAAAAGAAAGAAATGATCTGAAGAAAAGCGGGTTATTCAAAAAGAAAGCAAGGGAGAAAATGGAAACTCTTTACACGGATATGCAGACAGGGTGAAAAGCTTTTGCCTTCGTATTCTCAACTTCCACAGTTTCCTTAAATCCTGTTAGTCTTACTACAGGCATTCTTACTTCAAAGCATACATTTCAAACCGTTGACATTCGAAACACGTTTTATATCTTCGAAAAAATGTTCAACAAATCCAGAAGCGAGTTGAAATAAATTATTGCAAACGTCTGGTAGTGAAATGTATTTTATGAAGATTTTTTTTTTCAAATTTCAACCATCGCCCTTAGACCGCTTTGAGCATACATAGGTTTTTGGTTCATGTATATTAATGCGACCGACACTAGACATTACTAGAGTTTTCACGGTTTTTATTTGATATTTATATCTGTATAATGTATAATTTCAAGGATAATTCAGGTCGTCAACATAAAACACAATACATAGTGCGGGTGCACCTATACATCGTATATTTTATGATACAATGGAAGTATACTGGTTATTATTTTTTTGTAAATGCAGTCCGGTCCAATTTAACGTTAGTGTATTTTTAATTTTGTCTAAAATTAAAACGTAGTAGATCTATAATAATATATACTTTTTATATGTATATTTCTTTAAGTGTTTTCAAGAATATTGTCAATATTTGTTTTATTAAGCCACCAATAATTCCAAACTATATCTAAATGAAAGCGATTGTGGTCGGCTGGTTATTTATTTCAGTCACACTTTTTATTTTTTACGACATGCTCCTCGGTGTTAAATAGGAATGCCAATGAGTATTGAAATAAATAATTATAGCTCAAGTCATTCGTGAAATACAATACGATTATGCAAATTTATCTACTTAAAAATAATTAGTAATTTTTTTTTAACAACAAAGTAATGTTTTTAAACTTTTTAATAATATTGTTTTAATAATTGATATTATTTAATTGATGTGCGATAAAATAAATTAACATTTAAGATTGCCAGCTGGTTTAATTTTTTTTTTGAATGAATAGATTTCTTTTTAAGTTTTTAAAATAATTTGTAAGTTCTTGCACAAAAATCATATGTAATATATTGAAAACATGTGCTTTAGTTGTAGAAACACTTTTTATATCAAATTAATGTTAAATATAAATATATTTAATATAGACACAAATTTTTGAATGTTAAAATATTATTGTATTCTAGAATAAGATTCTAATGTACATCAATTAAAAGTAACGATGTAAGGAAGTAATATTATAATAAGCTTTTAAGAATTTGAAAGGCGATAAACGTACTACTGAAATTGCTTTGCGTTTCATTTACTCATTTGTGTTTGAATAGAAAGAGGAATTTTGTACTTTGCGATAATACAGAAGAGTTTTCCCTACGTGTAGCTCAGTACTTGGCTGGAAAGTAGTTTTCCACGAATGGACGTAGGGTTGTTATGTAACAGTCGACCGGGTGGCGTCGACGGTAAAAACTTATCGGAAAACGTAAGAAAGGTCGTGAAGGAGGGGAAATCGTGGAAACAGAAAAAGTAGACTAAAATGAAGAGAAAACGATGGCAGGGGGAGTTTCTTGGGTTAAAAGCTTTCGCGAAGGATGTCGCTTCATCGTAGGGACGGCGCGGGCCGGACAACTATGGCGGTGTAATGGAGCGTTGCTAGGTAACAATATAGTTTGTAGAACTATTCAGTATCCCTTTCCTTACTACACACCGTTCCCCTCACTCTCAGCTAGTGTTTCTTTCCGGAAAGCAAACTCCTTGTGAGAGAACACACTTGCACTCACAAGACATCGTTATCCTTTGTGCATAATAACCATATGTGATCTGGTCTCCTCAACAATCATTCCCGACGGATAGTAGTAAGTTCACGGACTCGCATAAAAAAATATCCGATTTAAAATCACTAGAAAATTAAATAAGAGTGTCTTACCGCCTCCGTGATGATGATGTTGCTGATGATGGTGGTGATGGTGATGGTCAAGGTCACCGCGTTTTCGTTTCCCCGTAGTCACATTGCCGTTAGGGTCATGTTGTGGTATACCCAGAATACCATTGATGCTGTACCGATCGTGCTGTTGCTGAAGTCCGCCCGATTGTTGAGGAGCGGGTGCGTGTGCGATGACCGACACGGGACCTTGCTGCTGCTGATGAAGCTGTTGATTTGATGGTGGACCCGTACTGCCGTTGCTATTGCTGTTTTGCTGATGATGCTGATTCTGTTGCTGTTGTTGGTTGTGAACGTGTTTCGCTTTTTCGGCGGCTTTGTTTCGAACAATCCTGTCGGAGAAAAAAAAATTTCATTTTACGATCGTAAAAAATACCCGAATCAAAAAACTCGGTAACTGAAACACGACTTAAATTGTCGTGCATCGTACCCCTTTTTCTAATTAATGCGGTACCGAGCATATTTAACGGTTCGGAAAACATAATTATTAGCGCACCGTGTTGTTATCATTTGAACCGACGACGACCAAAACTTTTGTTCAGTCGTGGCCGAGTGGTAAAAAGTATTTACGCGAGGGACTATATTGTACACGGCTACTCCCAAGGGGTGACGCCGAGAACTTTAAAACTTTGGGCAAAAGTTATTGCAGTACAATGTATGTATGCGCTGGTAGTGACTATACGGCATCACATAACCGTATTAAAAGCTTTGCGGTCCGTTTGTCCGAGAGAAACAATACCTTTTCGCGGGCTAATTCCTTTACACCGCTATTGCGGTATAACTTTTGAAAGCGCAGAATTGCGTTTTGCCGCACCCAAAACTCGATTTGATTATTATTGTTATTATACGAGAAGACGGCGTTCCGCACCGTATCGTTTCTGCCTTTAATACGTTCCGTGTTATTCGTATAAGCGGTAGCCGAATCAACGGGTCGGCGAGGAGACACCAAGACAGTGTGGCAACAGACCGTCGGCGGATGACTGCTCTCGAATTAAATAATATAATAATGTAAAAACCCGTTGAACGAGGGCGGGAAACCCATCAAGTAGATTAATAACTCTATACCCAATAACGGTTATGATAACAGTCGCAAGTCCAGGAAGCTCGCGCACGTGTCTTTTGCGCCACGTGCTGCCCTCTTCTATTCTGGAGTCACTCTTATATTTTATTATATTTTTTTCTTTCCCCGAACTAGTTTTTAATACTGTAACGGTTCGCATTAATCATCGTCCCGCAAATTTATTACGGTCTCCATACATCGGCGGTCGCCCTTGTGCGCGGATTCGCCACGACCAAAAACAAAAGCCATCGTTTTTCTCACAGTGTAGTATTCGACATTCCTATTGACAGCCGATTTTTGTGCGCCATTCATTTCGGTTGTTGTAGTAAATGTTACTATTGTTAAATTTATCATCGTACGACAAAGTCGCACAATTGTTTTTGTCATGTGATGTATTGTGTTAAGAATTTGAAAAACTGCCCACTAAAATTACAACGTTTTCAACTATAATTGTTAGTTGATACGTCTATTATTTTATTCGTTTTTAAAACTAAAACAATTTTGACTTTTGCGCTTTGAAGCGCAGACGATAAATAATTCAGTTTAATTTGTTCTACTGTCATCGGCTGTATAGAACTGTGGCAGTTATGGAAGTGAACAAATAGTTTAGTTTTTGACTGTACGGCTGTTTGTTTATCGGTAGGACATAACACGTGGCCGGACGTGTCAACAGGTAAAAAAAGAGAAATCAAATATTAACACGAAATCATAGACTACTCGGTACACGCTCCTACTTGATTAAATGGACGGCGAATTAATAGTAAACACAACGGGCGTCGTTTGGGTTTCACATTATTCCAAGACGGACGAGATAACATTTTAATTTAGTAATTGTTAATATAAACATAAGTAACACGACGGACTGTTTATAATTTTGATGTGGAATCGCCTTGCAATGTCGACTTGTCAATATCTAGAAAATACGTTGTCTGGAACTATTGATTGTTTTTACTAATCGAAAACAAAACAATAGACAAACAAATTGTAAATTTTTTATTATTTTCTTTAAAACTTTTGTACCGTTTCGCCACCGCAAAGTCACACTCGTTTTTAACTAGCGAACAAGGTATTTTTTCTGTACAACAAACATGTTTATCGCTTGAAGTGGTGTATAATGTACGTTCGCACACAAACACAAATACTTCACGGTTATAGGGTTCGCCAAACAGAGGGAGTTGGAAAGGGGGGCACGTCCCTTCTTTTATGGTTATTGTATGAAGCGGCGGCGCGCTTATTGTGTAAATGGCGCATTGATAGAGTGTAGCCGGTCACAAGGCCAGAATAAGTCAAACCGACTTCACTACAATATAGCGACATTATATAGTACATATCGCTACTGCGGCACAATGATCAGCGGGGAGTCCTCTGGCAGATGCACACGCTTCTCCCGAAACGCGACTGTGCCATGCGTCCCACCTATTTTGGATTCCGTCGAATGCATATGCCATATCGTTTTCGTATAGGCGGCTTGTATTTTTATGCGCATTATCATACCGTTTATACGCACAAGAGGGTATAATGACATGTATTATACGCCCAAAAAGACGACGTGCGTGTACACTGCAGTGAGTGTATGAGATTTTATACTTTGCACATACCCGTCGTCGGTGGAGCCAGTGTTCATGGACCGTGTTTCCTATGTGCGATGACGATGACGCAGACCGCAGTAAAACGTTTCACTTGTAACCGGAAAAGCTTGCACACGTTTTGCGCCGAGAAAAGCCTCTTGAAACGCACGAACTAACACGCATAACAACAAAAACGACAGCGGCGACGTCGACGATCTGGGGGCTCGATTTATTTGGGCTACGAGACGTTCATCTGATCACTCGAGATGAATAGTTTCTCGTGTGTATCCATCCAACTCGAATGTACATATTAATAATACACTTGTATTTATGAATAGAGGAAGTGATTTTGTGTGACATCAAACAATGTGGTAACCCATCGATAGGCAAATTGTTAGGAGTTTAATATACTGAACATCATTTAATATTCAAACTAACCAATGTTCATGTTTAACGATTATCTTTTGACTGAAGTAAAATAATTTTTCATTATTTTCTTTGTTTTATCAAATACTTGTAAATGAAATAACGAAATAAGTAAGTTTATTGTAACTTAAATCGAATTTTATTTGTTCCGCGAGATGATGTTTATCGCGTTTAAATTTCTTTTTTTTTTTTTTTAAATTTTTTCGTAATTTTATTTGTTCCGCGAGATGATGTTTATCGCGTTTAAATTTCTTTTTTTTTTTTTGTAAATTTTTTCGTTAGTCTTTTCCCTGGAACTCAATTTAGGTACAGCTAGTCAATTAAGAATGATTAATTATTATATAAACCTTGATACGTTTATTTTGGTATACTGTTAATACAATTTTTAACAGCTAATTTATTCAAAAAATAACAAATACAAAAAAAAAATATTACTGTAAAATCAATATTAACACAACGTAGAATGACACACATTTCTATAATAAATATTTCTTTGAATTTTTATAATGTGACATTATGAATTCCTCTAAATATTGTGTTATTAATTTAAATTGTAACTATAGTCCACAAATATGGTAAAATAATACATTAGAAATATTAAAAAAAATACTATTACTATAGCTAAAACCAGTGACAGTAGTTTTCATCATGTTTGTAGATATTGTAATAGTTAAAACGAAATTATGTAGGCTAATTGGTTTTCTGGTTTGACGATTATCTTAAAATAAATAATACCGATAGACGAGAAAGTAAAACCGGCAAAAGATTTGTTTTCACAGTTTAATTGACTGGATTTTTTCTCAGATGTTTTGGATCACTTGTTACAACTATCTCTTATATTTTCAATACACGTGTCAAACTGCATACTTCTAACTATCGATGAGTACTTTTGGAAAATGATCAAATAGACAATTTTCGGTTGACTAACAAGATGCTTTTAATGTTATTATTTCTTTTGTCACCTCTAATATTGTGTAGTGTTTTGGCTTTCCAATGTGCCAGTTGTAGCACTTTGAAAAATACAGTAGTTCCGTTGCAAGTTGCTGCGATACCATTGGTCCCGTTTTAATGGCATTTGCCACGTCCGATTGGCCGGATACCCGAAGACAGGGTGGAATTATTGCCGTTATATTATGATTATCGTATAAGGGGTGCGAGTTAACCCCTCGTCGTTATTTCACTGCCGTCACTATAGGCCACCAGAGACAGTTCAAGCGTATTGCACCACACACTTATATAATTCCCGTATACCTCGTGCTATGGCAAATGGTATTTATGGTACAATATACTATGAGTAGTTGGCCCCCCCCCTGTATTTGAATTTCGCTCCAGTGACTCTTTGGTAAATCCCATGCACTTGTTTTGCGAAAAAGTCGTAATTGGTTTCTTACGATGGTATTTTATTACTAACACGCTGATGTTGACTAATGTTTCACACAGAAACGTCTTCATTATATTATTGACTACTTTTGGTTAAAGATAAAAAAAAAAAATGCATTTTTACATCAATTTAACTAGATATCGAGTGATAATTATTCATTATATGTAGAAATATTAAATTTCCACTACGTATAATTCGACTAAAGAGTTATTCTGAAAAGAAAAAAATCCGAACGATATCTGTTGAAAAATATAGTTTAATATATACGCCAGAGTTATAAAATGTAAAATCCGCAGTACGATGCTTAAGTATATCTGTTCGTCTATATTATTTCGAAATCCCATAGGACACATTTGTGGTGTGACGTTTGCGGTTTAAGTACTGTCAAAGTATTTAGCATGACACAAGTTCAGTTTACCGTGGCAAATCTGTGGTTTTCTAGTGTGGACTTCATACTTGGTACCAGGAGGGGAAGGTATGGACTTAAATAACGCCATTGTATTTTGTTGTGTAGTACTCCTTCTCATTGTTTTGTTAATAATGAGTACTGTTAGTTGGTTAGTCATCATACGCACGACGAAAAAAAATCTAATTGTTATTTAAGTAACAAAATACCAAATTTTTGGCGTAACCATCGTCATAACAAATGCACGATAATCAAATATCTGTCGAATGGCACTTAGAAAAATGATAAACCATCGTAGCGTCATAAAAAAATAATAATAATAATAATAAGTAGCAATAACAGCGGTTTGTATAAGTAATAACGTTGCAAAGTTGTCGACATGTGCACGATTCAGATAAGATCTCCCCGTGGAAGGCTATTTGTCGTATTTAATAAACCATCAACGGGTTTTAGAGGGTAGATTAAAATCAACTTGAATCGTAGGAATATCTTGGTTATTTTTGAACATTATTAAACTTGATGACGATCTAACGCGGTAGTACAGGTCGTCAGCATCTCGAGGAAGTTCTGTGGCGCCAGCGATAACATTTTCCACGGGTTTTCCGGTCTGAACGAAAAGCCATGTGTGGTGATACGAGGGTTAGCCTGAGCAAGTGACTTAGTTAGTCTTGGAAGACGAGGTTAGGTGAGGGGTCTGAGAAAACGTCGGTGGAAAAAAGAAGGGAGAGATCAATATCTTGAATAGAATCCAGCAGCGCACGTCTCTGTTCACCTTCCCCGCCTTAGTCGCGCGTAAAACTCTACGATAACATGTAAGAATATAGATATTTAATATATATATATACATATATATTGTTAATATTATAAAAAATATTTTTATTGGACAGAGGCGCTGACATTTTATTCTACAAGTTTTCACATTTCTCGAATCGCAACAATAATGACATAAGATGTGCTGTTTCAAAAATGAGCCATCAAACCTGTTGAAAATTTAAATTCATGTGAAACTCTTATAGTTGTTTATAAAGACAACTGATGTTTTGACTCTGAGTATTCTTCGCTTCATTTGAACGTCACACCACTCGAAACCTGCCACTGTGAAATGTGATTTTCGCGTTACAAACAACCGAGCTATGTTTAATGTGTTGGAAATTATAAAGGGATTGACTACTAGAGCGACCGGCTGTATGTTTGGTAATATTTTATATTCAGTACGTGGAGTTGTATAATGTAAAAGTAGCAGGTCATTGAGTCATCTCAAACGCTATCCTTTTCGGATTAGTCTTTTTTTGATACTCAATCGCACGGAAATGATAAATGGCCGCGCTTACGCGTTCGTTTGCGTTGTTGTAGGAGGGTGTGAACAACAGGTTGCGCGTTTCCGACTTTATGAAGATAATGATATTAATAATAATAACACGAACCAATGATTTTCACGACACAACAGATGTGTAATATTATGTACCAGTAGTAGTACCGCTTTAGCAAGGCAGGACACCATTCGTGTCGATGATTAACATCCCAAGTCAGTGCAGCGACAACTGATAACAATACAAGATCAGTGAAGCTTATAACATTGTAATGTGTGTTGTTATATTGTGTTATTTTTGTTGCCCAAGGGTTCTGTCATCGAAGTTTAAATGTTGAATATTTTAAAAAAAGACATCAATTTTAGTGGGACAGTCAGGGAAGTTGTTAAAAAAGCCAGTAATTCATCGATTTAATAGGTTATATGATTTCTTTAGCTTATGTTTTGAACAGATGTTAATAAAGAAATAAAAATTAAATTTCATTAACTCTTCAAATCAGCATAGAAGTAGTTTATTTATTAGAGAAAGAAAAAATCATATAAATTAAAGCGTCAAAACGAATAACTGATTTTTTATAGTTGCTATTTTTTCAAAAATAAATTAATTAATAAAAAAAGTTTTATGATACATTAATTTTAACAAAACCGAATAAATTAGAGTATTTTTCTCAGTCATGTTATTAAATTAATAAACCAAGTTTATCTAATCTTTGTTTTTTTACTTTTTCTTGTCTCGAGTCGCTGAACAACGTACTTTTTACTATTTTTTAGTTTTTATGCAAATATTGAACATAAGTTTAATCAATGAAATTGTTAATATAAAAACTCGCAAGTTTATAATATATTATCAATCCATGTTATAGAACAGTTGCATTCATTGGTCAGAGACTTGTAGAGATCTCAGGACAAATCCCTTGGGCACAGTTGCTCTTGCACTACCATTTGGCGATTAATAAAAACGTAGTTGACGACCCTCTTTCGTCCACTCTACCCATCGTTGGATATTTACACCCTTTTATATTGTTATTACTCTCTATCGTCATCATCGCCGTCTAATCGTGTAATCTCTTATAACCCCTCGTGATCAAGTTACTCAATAGCGCGGTCTTTATCAAAATAAAACACGTTGTTCAAACATCATGTTAACATATGGACTGATGATATGAATAATAAAATAATACCATTTATGTATAAAGTACATGAGCTTAAAAATGAACTACTATCTAAAATTATTGTGTTAACCGATAAAAATTCAATTTTGATAAAACTTTGCAGTGAGTATACTCAGTGAATATTTTAGCCGATAAATAAAGTAAATTATTTTATCAGAATCAGTAGCTAGTAATAATTTTACATGAATTACCTATTGATTGAAGAAACACTTGGTACGTTGTCTTGAGTACAAACTCCTTCGGCCAACAATCTATCTCGAATTTCCCAAGCAAACATAGTTGGATTTTCTCTTTTGTAATTTGCTATAGAGTCTACAACAGGTGCTGTGGCTACTTTGGGTTTGCTTCCTCCTATCACTCCAGCTTTGAAGCTTCCAGTTTCATAATATCTAAAAATAAAATATAGTTAGCACGTTAAAATTAAATGATAAAAAGTGCATGCTTTAGACTGCACATATTTTATTCATATGATGAATAGGTTTCGCGTCGCATTAGAGATGCACACCTTGCTAAATCCGCACATGGAAAACAATGCGCCCTTTTTATTACAATATGAAAGGACCTTGTAGTCCACAAGCCATCGTCAGGACGTGCGGAAACTGACCATTGGTCATTATATGCATATGAAGATGTCCTACTTCCGGGACACGATCCCGTCCGTACAAAGGAACTCGTGGTTATTTATTAACACAACATAATAATGCGAGTACATAACATTATTATTTATATTATTTTACATCATTGTGTTATAAGATATAATATATAAATTTTTTCCCGTTTGTCCTCTGTTTTTTTCGCGTTATAGAAAATGTAGATTTTAGTCTATTCATATAGGTCCAAGCCCATTGTTTTCGGAAGGTTTTCAATGCGATGCCCAAAAGTATTTGCATGCGTTCAATTGTGATTGTAAAAAGGGTACAGCTTAGCTTTACGTTTTAATTATTGTTGAGGACTATGTAATAACATCGTATAATAATTTTTCTGTTTTTTACAATTAATTATATATTAAGCGCCAACTGGAAACATAAATAGCTATAATCTGTAAATCTAATTTCAATGCCAGTGCATTCAAATGTTCAGCAAAAGTTGTTCTGTAATAATTAGTGAATGTCTAGCTGTGTTGACATTATTTTGTCCCGGCACATTTGAAACACAAACGTTTCTCAGTATCTTAATTGGAACAAACGAGTCGTTAAATTGGAATGGATTTAAAGCTAAGGTGCGCGTTTTGTATTTAATTTATAATTCCAAAAATCTCTACGCGCTTGTATACGTATTTTATATTGTATTTATAGTGCGCAGTAGTTTGTCAATGTCTTCACCTGAGCCAAAATTAGATCGCTATAAGAGAGCTATTATGAATCACAAACAGCCCACTGTTCAAAATTTAAACTATAGATAAATTAATGAAAATGTAAAGCACAAACTTTCCGCTTGGTGAGTACATTCATTAGTGTTGCATAAAACTTGGTTGTTTAAAAAATTAACATTATCACGATTGTGTTAGAAAGCGATCGCATGCGTTATTAGTTATTTCACTTAATTTCTGTCAGAGAACTTCAATCGAATGGGAAATTTCTGTGAATTTATCAATATTGGACACGGTTTCTTTAGTGTATACATTCAACCCTTTACCAAACCAGTGAAATCATAATCGAGATCTATTGTTCGATAAAGAATAATAATTTTTCACGGATGTTTTTTTTGCCTACGCCGTCATCAACCCTAATAATTCTAAAACGATGGCATGGCTTGTTTGTGGTGTCGACAACGGCTAAGCCGTACACTGTAAAATAACAAGCAAACGTATATTGTGGTAGTGATGGAAGTATACGCGAAGCTAACTCAATTTTGCACTTAGAGTCGGCACGCGTACACTCAGTGACATTTCCCAGAAGCCGCATACGAATAATATGCGCGCAGTTAATGTTATTAAAACTCTTGGGGAGAAAATCGAAGGAAGGGTGCTAGAGCAAAAGCAGTAGCATTAGGAATAAGAGATGGAGGTGAAGAAACTGTGGTAGAGGAAATGAATCGTATGAGATACGGATACGCAGTGACAGTTCGTTTAAAAAGAAAGAAACCGTTTCCGATTGTTTTTTGTTTTGAATTATATAGAAATTTTAGGGACACCCACCCTATAATATCATAATTTAAATTAAACATTTATTCATTTCAAGTTTTAAATAATTGGGTAGTAATTACCATGAAGTTCATTTACCATAACAATGTCATTCGTTTAGAGTAGATTAATATTTCATTTCAAATGATATACTGGTAAAATTTATCCACAAAATACTATTCATTCGAAATGTTTATTGGAATTGAATTTTAATGGCAATTCCAATAGTACGTATCAATGACCAGTGATTGAAAGGATCACCAATGAACACCCTTTTGTATTTATTTCCATATAAATAAGTAATTTCTACCGTAGTATATGAGTGTGTGAAATATGGGTACAATATAAAAGTTTATGTCCTTGATATAATTTTTTTGTTTTTTTTTTTTAGTAGTGGGTCAACTTGTGCCTTAATGCATAATGCATGTAATATATAAGCACGCGTAACCCGTTTCCGCGAACAAAAAAATAAATAAATAAATGGAAATCAAGATTCGCGACAAGAATGTAAGGGTGAGCAAACGAGAGAACAGTAGAACCGGAGGAAAGTAACATAAAAATTAATAGCAGTAACATGGTTTTTACGACCTTATATATTTTATTAGGGTATGTTTATAAAAAAATTCTCATGTATATAATATGCCGGGACTATATTGTCCCAAGAAGAACCGGAAGCGAGGGAAAGTCAGTGGACATCGGTTGTGGTCGAGGCTTGAAAAGCAAATCCATTATCTTGGTTCCGGTGTGCTATGGTAATTGTTTCATATTGAATTGAACAACGTTAAAAAAATATAGTAATAAAGAGGGAAGGAAATTGTTCTTGGTATCATAAAAAAGTGGCTTGTTTATTTTAAAAGGTTTTCAATCTGATGGTTGAGTGCCAAAACAACAAAAACTATTTTTAAACACTTCAAAAACCACGTAGAATACATAAAATGTTTTTGAAATTTCATTATCAAACCTTAATCAAATTGATGCTGTGTATTAGATACTATAATCTATTTTTAATCTTACCTGGATAAAATTTTTGACACACATCCGTGGGATACTCTAAGCTGTCTAGAAATGTCACAAGGTCTAGTGCCATTATGGGCCAGCTCGACTATCCTCTGCCTTACTAGGTCTGGTAACGGCCGACCGTTGACGAATACCCCTCCCAGTTGATTTACACCGCCATGACCTTAAAACAAAATGATTTGTTAATGTTTATTTATTACTTAAATTTTATATCTACAATTAAAGTGACGAATGATAATGTCGATAGCCAACCTAAAGGTGGTTTTCTGAGAAATGTTTTTTCAACTAACGCCAATTATTCTTTATTACAGTACTGCGTATTTAGACAGATAGCACCGCAAAACTTAAAAAAAATATTCTAACCGAGTAACGAAACTAATTACATTCAACACTGCGATGATCGTACTAACAATCACGTATTTCTAAGTTTTCGGTCATACAAAAAATTCCAATAGTAAACGTATTATTTTTATTCTACAAACATTAGTACTGACGTTTTCCTGTAATAACCCGTAGGTTTCTGACAAAACATTTGAAATTATATTATTTTATGTCTAGTTTTTGGTTATTTATTATTGTAAATTAAATTTAAAAAAACACCATATTTTATGTTATTTCGAATTTAACATAAACATATATTGTCAACTTAAAAAAGTGTATTATTTGTTAGATTCGTGCAAATGAGAAATTTATCGAATTCGTATTAATTTGAAAAATTTAGATAATATTTGTTACCAATTTAAACATCTGTCGATTGTTTAAATTAACGTCGTGACCGGCCTTGAATGGCCTTTTTATAAAAGGTTTTCAAACAATGAAACAGAAAGATTAATCGCGAATAAAAGGTGTTTGGTGGTCAGTTTTGTTCGGGTAACAGATAACAACTGGCAAAACAATGTTCATTGAATATACCGCGGCTTTAGACCTTTCGACGCGTGTCCCATTGTGGTGGGCGTTTATTATACCAACAAACAACACACAACGTGGAATACACATAAATTTCTGAACAGAGAGAGAAAGATTATTTAACGAGATAATCTTGTTTGTCGAGGCTTTGGGGGTTGTCCGCCGAATTAAGCAGATTACCGTTTCTGAAGTGGTTCGAGGGTTAAGAGGAGGGCGGCGGCTATTAAGAGCTAGTCATCACCACTCCGTTGGGCGTCGACATATTGGCTCTCGACCCAACTACAAGAAAATAATGAACCTCATTCAAAAATTATGTGCATTTTACTATATTTACCTATTAAGTGTTAACCGATATACATTTCGTAATTAATCTACTTAGTTCGTTCGAAATACAACGAGTAAAAATCGTGGAATATTCTCTACTATCTTCAAATCGTTTAAATGAGTCTAAATTTTGAATATTCAATCCAATTTTTTTACACTAGTTTTCTATACTTTTTCAGTTGCATCGTTGACGACGATCTAGCAAAAAACAATCAGCGATAATACGGAAATCGCAGCTTTGTTGCCGTCAAAAGTGTTTGGCCCTTGGGGAGTATATAGCATTCGCCCTCATTGTTACACACACTATCCTAATGAATCTTCCCCATAGAATATAGAATGTCAAGTAAAAGACTTGCACGCGCCTATAATATTACGCTATGTGTTTACGTGGACGTGAGTACATACAATAAGTATAATAACATTGGTGAGCGATTAAGTGTTAAAAACAATAAAGAGATATTTTGACACATAGTGTAATATAAAAAATAACAATTTATTAATGTAATCAATGTAATGAGTGCTATAAATCTCACTATAATTTAATTTATGAATAAAGCCAGAAAAATCCAAAGTAATTTTCTATTTTTTATATTTGTACTAATAGGTTTAGACGATTAAAAGAATTTATATTCATGATATTTAATATTAAAATTTACTTTAGCTAGAAAATTACTTTCTAATAATAATATTTTTGAGAATTTTCATATTAAATTTCTCTCTGAAACTGATAACATTTTATTTTTAAATAATTTTACAATAATTTATTTATTTATTTGGTGTAAACGCCCAGGTGGCTTCAAGTACAGTGATAATAAAATATATAATAGACATAAATTGAAATGAAGTTGAAATAATGATACAAGTATGTTACAATATTAGTATTAAATAAGTACATAATATTAAATTAAATTTATCAAAAAAGAAAGGTGATTGAATGATATGCATCAGGCTACTAAAATCAGTGTTTTAAGGAATACAAATCATTCATAATAAACAAATCAAATTTTAATATATTGCACTCTCTGGCTATTCGATCAACAGGGTTATTAAAACCGTAAGATGTTCGATGAAAAAGGATTTCAAATGTGGGACAAGAACGTGAATGTAATTTAGGAACATGAAAGTTTATGGATTGTAATAATATTTTTTTATCGTTATTATAACATATAATGTTATACAAATATTTCTATTAAATTATTTTTTAAAATTGCTCTCTGAGGAGTTTGAGAATTATAATTTATGATTCAACATTTTTTCATTAGTATGTATTTAAATTATAACATAATAATAGAAGTATCCGTATTATACTCTATATTTTCTTGAAAAAATAAATTTGATGTTATATAGTGTTTATACTTCTACCTATATGAAATGAGTGTTATAGAATGAAAAAGTTAAATTAATGAATTTATGTTTTCCTTAATATAGATTTATTACATAAGACCAATTTTTCGTTTAATCTAGTTTCTTTCTATTTCATGGCCAAGCATAACTTGGTATAGTATCCTTTTTCAATGTGAACGACATTGTTGACCAGGGCTTGGAAATTATTTCTGTCTTTTGAAAATTTTTACCATATCTAGTAAGTTAGCACCTATAACGAATTTTTTTCAAGAATCTGTAACATTATTAGTTATAAAAACCGAATTTATTTTCAAATCGCTCTTGAAACTTTAACCAAACATAAACTTTTTTAAGTTCAATTGAGGTTTGAAAGGTGATCTCATAATATTTTTTGTAAATATATTTTTAAAAAAATATTAAAAAAAAAAAATTTCATATAGATAAACTAATATACTAGATGGAAGAAAATTTTCCAAATCCCGAAATTATTTCGGTTTCTAACCCTGTTGCTGATACAACGTCTATGGTACTAATAATATAACAATAATTGTGCCAACATATTTATATTTTGCTAATTAGACTGCGTTGCGAATAACAAAGTAATGAATTACCAAAATTTTGTTGCACAATAATTATTTTTATGTGTGCTAAATAATAACAGCATGGTAATTATTTTTGCGATGAAAACAAATAGAATTCGTGTGTACCTAAATCGATTAGGTTGCACAATAGGCGTGACGATGTGGTGTACTCAAGCAAAGGTGAATGCTTTTTCGATCTGATGCGGTTGAAATAACGAAGCATTATTATTGGGTGCCACTGTTGAATTAATTGGATTTTAACTGTTGTTTTACGGATAAGCGTTGGTAATTATTTAGGCGATCAAAATTAATTATCATTGATAATGATTATTAATAGAAATTTATCGACTACAACCTACTGATAGCAATGTAACCACTAATCGAGATAAGAAACTCACAGGTATAGTATTCCATCATGTTCTGGTTGTATCGGTAAGCGGCCGTGGACAGATCCATGGCTGGCCTTAAGGCAGAGAACAGTCCTCCGATATTGGCTGAAGGGTCCAGTCTGGCGGCCGCGCCGAGTTCACCGACAACGGAATCTCCACCGAGCACCATAGTGGACACGAAAGATGTGGTGCATAACACGATCGACAGTAACGGATACTTCTTGTCACAAACGCGATTATAGCGATAACAGATGCGCTTCTCAATTCGATAATTTCAATAAAAAATCCAGCCTATTCTACACAACTAGCAATATGATGTGATGCTGTGAGACAGTATTCGCGTTCGAGTGATTACACTAAGCGTGGGACGATAATGTACGGTGGTCACGTCGTGTGTTTGCGGATTACACGTCGAAAGAGCGTCGCGGCGTGCGCGATGTGCACCACACAATATGTATCCGTCGCCGGGGTGGCTTATGTCGTTTGTGTGGTGCCGGCAAGCGCCTCGCTATCTGACCGGCGACGGGTTCGATGGGCGGTACAAAGGGATTTCGGTGGGGACGACCACCGCTTTTTCTGCCCTACGATAAACCCCCTCCAATCCATACGTTGGTGACTGATTTGTTTTCGTTGACTTGGTTTTTTACTCTCTTTTCACATAAAAAACAAGAGTATATACAAAATGCTTAAGCGTATAGTTTAATCCACTTTTCTCTCGACATCTGTACTCTAAAATAGCGTTAAATCTCATTTCCTATCTTTTATTTTTTCTTAAAATTTATACTGGTCCACCGCAATTTCTTTCTTCTTGGTGTAATAAATCACTATGCTGCACAATCTTTGTAATTACTTTGATCTTATATCAGTTTCCTTAACTGTTCTTGATCAGTTTTTTTTTACAACCAAAGCATAGATATAAATTCTTCGAGTAATTGCTTGTAATTGTATATTTTATATAGTACAAGATAATACACATAGTCTTAATATTTTCATTAATGGTTGGTGTAGCAACGACTATTATTCCTACTAAATTAAAGTAAAATTCACAATTTAGCCACTATGAGACATTGCAATTTATCCAATAAAATGCTTGAGTCTAGATCTTATATACGACTTAGCGATGGGATCACTTTGATTTTTCAGGGCCGCACATCAAATCGCGTTGAACTATTCCCCCTCTGGCTGGCCTTTGTGCTCTTGCGAGAGGGGTAAGATGAAGTGGAAGCGTTGGATGACGCATGTGCCACCCGAGGTACTTTCAAAACCCTTTGCTATTGGCCAATGGGCGGACCGGAAAGCCGAAAACGTTTTGCGTACGCTTTTTTTTTTTCATTTCCCTTTCCATATCCGTCGTACTCGCACTCACACATACATGACTAAGCCGTAAATATTTAATAAGCGCCGAAAGTCGAAAAAGCTGACAGAGCTTTTTGTGTTATTAAACTGCTCTGCGAAAGCTTTACAAAACGTTTGGTTCGTACCCGCGTTCACCTCTTTCCCGGCTTTTGTGCTACGTAATGGTTCCTTTGGGGAATGCCAATCGAAATGCCACACATTCAAAGGCATGAAAAGTAAAAGCCACGAGTGTGTATATGCTTTTTGGTTTTTATTGAGGTTTG